GTCACGGAAAGTAAAATTGTTTGTTCTTTCTTTTTTTCCTTCTTTCTCTCCCTTTTTCTCTCTCTCTCTTTTTTTTTTTTTGGCTTCCTTCTTTCTTTCTCTCTATTTTTCTCTTTTGTTCTCTCTTTCTTTCCTTTCTTTCTTGGTGTATTTAGTTGAATCAATTTCATATCCACCTTCTGCTTATATCAGTTGCCAGCTGTACTACTATAATATCACATTCATTATATTTGTTTTCCCATCCTGATGAAAGTCATCATAATTATTCCATTTTTAGAACAAATAAATGAGAACAAGAAAGGAACAAGTTTTTACCAATAATAATAAATCTCTTACATAGAAGTCAATTTGTTTGCGCATTATGGAACATCACGCATGAAGTTGAACTGACAAGAAAAAAAAAAGTACTAGTAGTGTTTATCCGAAGTAAATTGCAACCTTTTCTGAAATTTAAATGGAAGTCAAAATGCTCTTTGTTCTTTGATTGTGGCAGATATATTTGAACAGAAACTTATCAATTAAATTCTAAAAAACATCTTCGTCCATTGGAGCTCTTTTAAAATTTTATTTGAACAGAAATGATTCACTTTTATTGTAGGTGTTTTAATTTTTGTCTGTTTTAGGTTTTGTGGCACACATCATTCTATTGTGAAAATTTACACCATGCTAATGTAGTACTTATTCTTCTTCCAGACTTATTATAGTGCTTTCAAGGGCTATGTTCCTTTTTTTTTTCCACTTGGAAATCATTCTATTTTTATTTCTATCTCGTCTTTTTTCAACAGGTGGTGGCGGCGGAGGTAGTGGAGGCTTCTACGGTTCAGGTGGCGGAGGAGGTGGTGGCAACAGCTATGGTGGGGGCTATTAGGACCCTGCCACACCCGATCTCATGCTCCCAGCAACATCACTTTCACATCTGTACCCCATACATGTATGATTTAATGGGGCACCGAATTCTCTGTGTTTAATGCAACTTCTGTAGTTAATTTACCCATCCACACTGTTAGGTACCGTGCTGTAGATGATCTTGCAGTAGACATTATATCATGTTGTTATTTGAATATGTGTTGATATAAGATGCGGTATATTCAACACATACATAAACATTTAAAATTAGGAAACCCTGCAAAAATATATTTGGATTCATGTTATTAGCTGTCCAACATATCAGCATAGATATCGCCTTCACTCCTTTTGTAACTTTATTTTTCCCTTTTTAAAAAAAATAGCTTTTATATGATTCATAGGCTGCAAGTAAGAATATTCGCTCATTATTAATATACTTTATAACAATTATGTTCTAGCAGTTTTTACTGGCATTTTTTACTAGTAAGTTTGTAATTTCAAATTATGTAATTGTTAATAATCTTACCAGTGAAACATGTTAAGAAATTCGAAAGTAAATGACTCATAGAAGAAAGGAGAGAGTAGACTCAGAAATTTTGCCGAATCCTTTGAAATTCAAAAATCTTTCTTTTTAATTCTAAAATTAATGCGTATATTGACTGTCTGGCCAAAGAGGTTTTTGGTTGTTTTTAACCATGTACAGAATATTTTATTTGTTTTTCTAACGTCGAGTCATTTCATATCTATAATTTATTTAACGTGCGTTCACTCCAGTGCCACACGACCCAAGATCCACCCTTAAAAATATCCTGCTGTTTAGAGAGATATTATGCGCATGTATGTATGCATGTATTCATTCAATTTTTTGGACAGATGATTCATAACATTATAAAACCCAAGTATTAACTCTGATGCTGTACTTTGAGTAAATAAGTGATGTAGGGAGATAAGTTTTTGACCGTGTCAAGAATAGTTTGTAAATATTTCTGCCTTTGAATGAATGTTTTCTGACTTTCATTCTATGAATGCATCTTTTGATGACTTGTTCAAAAAGGTTGTTTTGGGGATTTGTATTCTAAATTGCATGAAGATCATGTTGTCCTTAATATTTTCATGTACATATATTATATGTCATTTGAAATTGTTGACTTGTGTCTCGTTTTGTATCGTTTTAATTTTGATAAAGTTGTGTTATCGTTGTCATTTACATCTGAAAACTTAATCGTGATAGTATGCATATTTGATCATTTAGTTTACTTATAATGGACATGTAATCTAATGATATTAACTCTATAAGTTGAACAAACAACATCGATTCAAATTGCAAATGAGCTGTACAAAATTATTGTCACTATTATATCTGTGATCTGTAATATATGATCACTAATTTGAGAGTTTGAGATGAAATAGTTGATAGATTGGTATATCACATATCGCTTTTAACCTGCCTAAGAGTAGGAATGCTGGGAAATAATACTGTCAAATTCTTACGCTAAGTTTGGAATGTCACAATTTTACAGTTAAAATTAAACTTTGTTCATATTCCTGTTCAATTAACAGTGTATTCTCAATCACCATCATGTTCCCAAAGATAAAAGTAGTTATGGACAGATTTGTAAAAGCTGCAAAATATATGGGCCATGTACAGTATGTATGTTTAAGAGTATGTTATATCCTTCTGTAAGGTATCAACTGAACTACCTTATTGAAAGTCAAATGTTCTAGCTATCTTGTACTGTATATTCATATGTACCAGTACAGTTCATATACATGCATCGTTAGTTCTGTTTCTACATCGAATCCATGCAGCTTTGCTATGAAACACAGTCCACCGCCATGTGCATTTTCTCTCCATTTGCAACATTTGCAGGTTAATACAGACCCATTTTGTTGCATGCCTGGGGCAACAAGAAGTGGCATTTTGCCAAATTGGCTGTACAACTGTTTCATGAGTACATTTCGATTGGGGCCAAGTGATGCGAGTAATTTGACAAGTGGTGTGATAATTGTAAGCCATGATTGTGATCAGATACACCTACATGTGTTTCTTTGTATTGTGATGACATGTGCTACAACAGTTCGTCTTGTTCCCAGCTTCTTTGTAGATGCAACTGTCTGTTTTTTTCTAAATAAACTTTCAGCCTTCAGACTGAATTCATTTCTGTACGAGCATTGTCTAGTTGCCTTGAAGACCGTTAGGTAAGTTGGGAAGTGATCTGTAAATGTTGAATAGATGGTGTAGGTCAGTGGTTTGTATGGTGTTCTTGACTAGATCAAAGTTTAAAGAGATGATTTGGTTCTACAAAATCTAGGAATAGCAATGAATACAGACGTGCTGCAGCTTTTTCTATTGCACTCATCGGAGTAAATCGCAAATCCGATTTATGTTCATTCTTGCGATTAACTCTGATGAGTGCAAGATGAAAAGCTTTAGCATGTCTTGAGAAAAAAGTTTGAACTATCATGACAAAGCAACATCTTGGCAACTCAAAGGAGAGGTCTGGATTCCCTCTTTAAGCCAATCTGAAGTAGAATGAAAGAGATGCGAAAGACCGATGTTAAGTAGAGAGAGAGAGAGAGAGAGAGTGGGGGCTGGGAGATAGAGATAGGAGGAGACAGAGACACAGAGAGAGAGAAGATTGAGAGGGACAGTTGGAGGGAAAGACAAACACAAGAGAGAGAACAGGAGAGACAAAGATGGGACATGAATGATTAATACCTATCTACTTGGACGACTGGAGGGAAGACGTTGAACACGCGAGGGAAGAAAATTTTGAAAAGCATGGATGTTGGTGTCTACCATGTTCGTTTTTTTTTCAACTTTTTTTTCTCAATCTTCCACTATTTCAATTCACTTCTGCATCGATCTCTCCTTGTTCTTTTCATTTCTGCTATTCTTGTATCCTCTTTCTCTCTCTCTCCCCTTTTCTCTTGCCCTCCCTCCCTATTATTTGTCTCTTTCTCTTCTTCCCTGCAGTTTTCTATCCTTTGCTTTTTGACTAAATACAATGTATTACATTTTAATAGTTTGGTTTTAGACGTAACAAAGCGCTCAAAGGTTTGCTTTGGGTCAATTTCAACTGTTACAAATTAATTTCAATTTTCAATAGAGGATATTATAAACATTTTAATAAAATTCTACAAATTAAAAATGTGAAATATGAACTAATATGAGGTACTTTCTAGTACTTTTTAGTTTCCTATCAACTATTTGTCTAATTTATGAAATACTGAATTTTATATATGTTTGTTACAAAATGACATTAGAGGCAGTATTTTGGTCATTCCATGACAAAGCTCTTTCAAATTCAATATTTTATGACTTTGATGAATGGTTGATAAGAAACTCTGCTGAATCTATATTGTGGAGCATTCACAAGCCTACTGTATAAATCTATATTCACATCATTAATTGTAGATTTTATTCAAGTACATGTGTATCTATAATTTTCTTTTTTTTTCAAAATTGAAAATTCTTTGGACATGTCATTCCATGAGAATTGGAATTGACCTCTGTCTCACAACAAGTCACAGTTTCAACTCGAAATGAAAAAGATTGCGGCGCATGTAGCACTGTAGTTTCCAAAATGGTCATTTATTTACAGGTTTCAAATTCAACTTACAAGAAAAGTAAACAACTAAATTTTACCCAGCCATTATTCACAGTAAAAATCTATCAATAATAATAATAAGCCAGGTAGGGGGAGCATTTCTAATGGGCTGGTTATCAGAACATGTCTACATAAGGTCATAAAGGGTGCATGAAATGTTATGGGTCCCCATCACTTCAGGTTCCACTGTACGAGAACTATGTGGGAAAGTGTTCAGAAAGACAAATACAGAGAGGAAAATCTCAGAATCATGTTTTTTATGAGCATGAAGTGTCTACTTTCTATCACGTACCCTATTACTGTAAAAAGAAAATAGTTGAAAGATGGACATGTGAATAAAATGCTTGTTAAAAAAAAGCATGAAAAGGTTCATGGTATGTTACATGACAAAACAGTTTCTGCATTTTCCCAAAGTCATTAGAGCAAGAGGAGGTCAAATCTCAGATTGAGAATGGTTTATACAGTAAATAGTGGGTGGTTTGCAAAGTCAGTCTACTTGTACTTTAAATAAACACTCCCCCCCCCCCTCCCCCACCTCCTACCCTCCTGCAATGTGACTTGCATCTGCTCAGTATGTTAACATTTAAAACAAAAATTGTAGCAAGAATATCCACTCTCGACAATTCAGACAAAAATAATCTAAAAAAGGTACAACACATTTATACTGGCAAATCCTACCCTAAGAAAGTTTAAAGACCTGCACAAAGCACTGTCACAAGATGAAATTATCACCACAATAGGCGGTATTCATTACAAGCAAGTTTGTTAAAATAGGATTTGCCTGTACACGAGACAGAAATATCCATAAACGTAAACAGACAATGGATCACAAAGTTGAGAGACTGACTACACCAGTGATACTTTATCAGTTGCCTTCCAGAATAAAATAAAATTAAAATAAAGTGTAACTGGAAATATGGGAGACATACTGGTCTGTAGTCCTTTGTAGCTTGTTTGTGGTACAACGTACATACAGAAGGATGTCTAGTCTATGGAGGCTATACAATTTCATCCCATGCATCAGAATTGTATTAAAAGAGTGATTTCTATGTTTAAACTGAGGTAACTCAAGGTTTGAAGGGAAAGTCCACTCTTATACAAAGTTGGTTTTAATAAAAGCAGAAAATGGCAGAAATAGATTGGCGAAAGTTGGAGGAAAATACAACAAACCATATGAAAGTTGTAATGATTGTCCTTGCTATCAGCAATTTTTCCCCATTAAATTTGTTATAAATAGAATGCAAGTTATCAAACTTTTATAATTTTCTGGTTTCGATTCAGGAATAGATCTATTTCAAAGAGGAGTAAATAATTTATTAATAAAATAATTTCTTGTTTCTTATACAAAACAAAGAAAAATCACAGAGTTGCCAGTTTTGTTAATCCATCAGAGATTTAAAACATCTTCATTGTATTATACTTTACTTGGATTTTCATCAACCTTTCATTTCCTGCTCTTATGAACACCAACTTGATTCTGGGTGGACTACCATTTCAAAAACCCTTATGGTGTTAGACTTAGACAGAATACTAAGATTTAGAAGATGATTCCTCTACCCCTGTCCCCATCCTCTGTGGATCCTGGGAGGGGTAATGTACTGCTGGGGGCTTTCCACTACCCTGCTGTGACCGTGGGGGCGGGGGCATGTTCGGGGGAGGGGGCAGGGGCATTCTGTGTCGCATGTGGGGTGGCATTGGGCCGTCTCTCCTGCCTCCGAAGGGAGGGGGAGGAGGATACCGGGGCATCCTTGGGGGTGGTCCACCTGGAGGGGGAGGGGGGAACCTTCCCCTGTTGCCTGGGTGCATGTGGTGGGGAGGAGGAGGTAACCGAGGGGGTGGGGGCATACCCATGCCGTAGCCTGGAGGTGGTCTGAACTGAGCGTGGTGGGGGTGGGGCGGGTTGTTCATTGGAGGGGGAGGTAGCATGGGGGGAGGGAATGGTGCGTTGCCTTGGTCTTGGCTCATTTGTGGTGGATGTGGTAATACTGCAAGGGAAACAAAAAATAGAAAACGGAATATTAAAAACTTGTTAATGAAGCTAGCAATGAATAATTGATCTAAATACTCTGAGGTTACATTAGAACCTTTATAAAATGTCCAGCTGTGTGTAAAAATAACTTTTATAGGCAGATGGTATGTCTATTGCTCTAAAAGATTGTCACAAACACAGCATAGTTATATCCATTGATCTCTAAGAAATAGTTGTATTTACATTTATTTTCAAATCACATGGAAGTGCTAACATGTACATTCTCTCGTTAACTAAGGTACATATATGACAAAATAAACAACTCTACAAGAGGCTAAACCAACAATCACATCTGTTATCTCTTTGATATGTCATCATGTGTGTGTCTGCGTGTGAAGTAAATGAATACTTTGATAACAAATTAAAAAGATTCATTCTATTCAGAATCTTGTTTCAAGATCAAGTAGAAGCCTTTCTTACATTTTACTGTTATCATTTGTAATTTGTTATGCATGTGACTTAAAGCCTGTCTGCACTAGTTGGCCAGGGGTTTCGACCTCCCTGCATGGTCAATGACAGGTGGTTATCTCATCAAATCAGCTCTCAATTATTATAAGAACAAGGGGATCATGGGGGACCAACAGGCACAGATTAGGCATTGTTTGCTATATAGAGGGCACAAGTAGCTATAAGTAGTAGAGTGTGGCTTCAAGGTCTTTTAGCACTTACCTCCAGGCAGACCCGGTACAGGTTCATAGTTCAGCTCCTTCTCACTGTCATCCTCCTTCTTCCCTGACCCCAGCTGGGCTTGGGGCTTCCCCCATTTGATGTTTAACCTTCGACCTTTGATGATCAGCTTTTGGAAGGAGTTCTCTGCAGCTCCTTCAGCTCCTTGTCTGTTTGTGAAGGTAACAAAAGCACACTGCTGCTTGGGAACCACGTTGATGCTCCGTAGCTCACCAAATTGATAAAAGTGACCCCTGCAAAGGAAGATTGAGACAAATTTAAAACTTAGATTAAAATCATCAAAAGAAATATAATCAGTGTTATAAGATACAGAAATGTGTAGACTATTCTACTTTACATCATCATTTTTTTAAATGGTGCAGTTTTGCAGCGTCATATCTGAACGATGCTTTAAAGTGGATACTTACTTGAGGTCTTCCTCTGTGACTTTGTCCCCCAGGCCACCGACATAGAGCGTTGTGATCATCCTATCCTCAGGAGCTTCTAGCTTAGGCATGGCCGCTGCTCGTCTCATCAGCTTGTCGGCTACGGGATCATCCACTCCGTAGAAACGATCCTTGATGTTCTGATCAGCCAAAGGATCGTCTGGGTCTGTTGGCTTCTCATGCCTAGGATTACACAAAAACAAAACACAATGTGATGAATTAACAAATCAATGTATGAACAACAAAGCATTTACATGAATGAAATTAAAAAACAAGGGCTGAAATAAAGTATGGATGAGTAATTTTCTTCAACTATGCTATAGCCAACTTGTTTATCCACACATTTTTTAAATATTGCAAGATAGAATTGGGTTAACTGATATATGATGCATGAATCCCCAAGTGTCACAATAAACGAAATAAAAATGCATTTATTAATATTTCAGCGTTTGTAAGTTGCCCAAATTTTAATGACAACGTCAAAATAAAAGACAGTTGATGGAATGTACATTACTACATTGCAAACATTTTTTTCCTGTATACCGGTAATGGATATATTTCTTTTAATCAGGTAAAATTTCACGGTCTATGATAATTTCCAACACAAAAAAACAAACTGGTTTAGTAAGGATCATCATCACCAGCATCCATCATCATCCCTGGTTACCGCTTTTCACCTCCTCTTCCTTAATGCAATTTATCCACCTCGTCCTGAGCAATCCTACCTTTCTCCTTCCTTTCTCCTTTCTCTCTGCTGCCCATCTAATCAGTTCATCTTCATCTTTCCTCTTCACGTGTCCATACCATCCCAATCTGCTCTCTTATCCCCATCACTTTTACTTCCTTTCGCACCTCATCATTTTGCCTCTTCTCCCTTTCTGTGACCCCTCTCACACCTCGAGAAAGAATATGGAGCTTTAACCCTTTAGCAACTAACCGCCCTTCCTTTTACTCACTGAACCGTCCGTCCGCTTTTATCCGTTTTCAACGCAATGTAGTATCGTTCTAGGGGTCTACGTGATAATTTTATACGTGCCTAATCCTTACAATATCTACAGTAGGATTCTGCATAGAAAAATAGCGCATGTTTCATTTTGTTCAGAACAATGTCAAAATGAGAGCAAAATTGCAACATCTTCCAGTGAGTACGGTAATAGGCCATTTTAACAAAATCTCTAGTGGCTAATGGGTCAAAATGAGCTTGTCAGCTTACCGGTACGGACACTCTTCTCCTCTCTTACACTCCCCCTTGACCCAGAAGGAGCATATATGAGGTCTGTTCCTTTTGTAGTATGGTGTGGTCCTAGCAAGCTTGAGTAGAAGATCGCTAGGGGCCTGGGCCTTCCCTACAGCACCTAGGGCTTGGTTACCTTCAGCATTGGCCAGCTGTGATATGATGACACAACAATGCAAATGTTAAGTTTAAATATCAAAGACAATAGTAAAGTATGATTAATCTTGGCAAATAAACCTGTTAATAGTTATACACACATCAATATTGAATAACATAGCTTTGCTCATATAAGTTTGGATTCTGGACTATCATTCAATGAAGATGAGAGACTGAGAGACAGGGACTTCCATATTCAGCAAACTATATACACATAACTTAATAATATGATGGATCACTAAATGATCATGAGTCAGAACAAAATAATAGTTAGGTCTAAGTTTGATTACTTCCTACTCTAAATAAAGATTTCTTTTATCATGTAGTTCAAATTGCTTAGGGATTAAATTCATAGACACATATTCTGACTTTAGAATGCAGAATTATTATCATACAATTAAAAACTGAATTATTCATATCCCTTGTAAATTTGATGGTTTTTGTATTTTTTGTAACTCGAGAATGAAAGATGGATTATTTGAGCTAGGGCCTTTGTTGAATTCTTTTAGATGTCACATTTTCAAGACACATAAATCAGAACAAATCAATTTTTCACATACTTAAAAAAAACTACAAAACTTGGTAAGAGTATGAATAATGTAGTTGTCAACTACATGCGCTCTCACTGCATAGATATTACATGAGCACAAATCCTTTTCTCTACTGAACTGTAGTATGGATATGAAAACACAAACTAGCTGCCACTATCAGAAGAAACCCAAAGATGGAGTTGACATACCTCTCGCTCCATGTTCTGGGAGTAGTACTCCTTGTTGACATCAGATTTGGGCATTTCATCTTTGACATTGAGGGCAGCATCACGTACTTGGATTGGTAAACCTGATACAAAAACAGAAAAGGGTTGACATTTATAAACAGTTCTAAATATAATCAGTGTTTTTAGTGGATTTTTATCAAAAGCCTGGAGCGCTCGCCCTGGACTAAACTGAATCACCTTGACTGGGTAATTTATTTCATCCATCCATTAATCATTCTTTAATTCATATTTACTTATTTACTTATTTATTTCTTTATCTATTTCTGTTAATTCATTTTTATATTCTTTCCTTCTTTTTTGTTGTGGGGGGGGGGGGGGGAATTTTTTTGCATGAAATGATGCATTTGCAGTTTTTAATATGCCCATGTTTTGATATTTAGGCCTTATCATCACCATATATGTGTTACGTTCTGGCTCTTTAAGCCAGGCTACATCACTTTTTTAAAATTTTATTTGTATGGTGGCTACATCACTTATCATTTGATTGATTTTATTTATTGATTTACTCCGCATCTTTATGAAGTTCAATCCAAAAAAAACTGGTCTAAAACAAAGCCATGAAAACAAAACCTGTAAAGAAACATTTAAAACGAAAATGCACAATTACAACTGAAACTAAACGGAAGATAGATTACAAGACTTCGTAACACTCACCATACTCAAGATCTAGCAGGCAAGTCTGGCAGACGTTCTTCAGTTTGCTACAAGTTTGGCAGACCTCCGTCTTCTTGAACCTCATCCGAGCCCCAGGACACCAGCGGAATATGGTGAAGGGACGCTGACATATCTTACACTCTCGCCCAAACTTCTCCTTGGTCTAGAAAAATAAAAAATCAGGGATGATTTCGCCGTTATCAAACTCTAGTTGAGCTAAGGCTTTGCTGCAAACAAATTACAATGACCAGGACACCATCAGACCATGGTGAAGGGGCGCTGACATATCTTACACTCCCGCCCAAACTTCTCCTTTGTCTACTTTGGATAGTGAAATACAACATCAGGGATGACTTTGTTGTTAGCAAACTATAGGTTCCTTCATACAAGTTGAGGTGTTGCTGCTAACAAATAACAATGACAAAATGGCACTTTTCTCTATACCAATTACCTCAATATCAGGAAATATAGGAAAATGAAAATTGATGACGGACTACCAGTACATGAAGTTTGCACTTGCCAATTACATTTTTCTTTTCTTCTCTTTTTATTTTTTTGGGTCTAAATATAAACATATTAGGGTAAAAAATACAACACAAAGATACATTAATTTGATTTGTAATTTTAGCAATGTAAGAACAACAGTTTTGACATACTTCACTAAGTTATTAATAAAAATATAACTGAAAGCAGATTTAGAACAGAATAATATATGAAATATAAAATGAAATAAATTGAGATGCATAATTTGGTATTCCCCTAGAATAATCTGAGGAATATACAACTTTGGCTAAAAGAAACATCTAAGAAACAATGGAACATACTTCATTTGCTCTCTTAGGGTTTCTCATAGTAACAATTTATAATGATGATGATGATGACCATTTACATCACCTGGGTTGAGTGTGGCAAATGCAGATTAATGAATTACCAAAGAACATATTTGAAACATGTACCTTGTGGTCCACAGTCTGGAAACTTATCCACAATAAGTGCCTACTTACCATACGAACATAGGGGTTATCACCGAGGCATGTTTGGCACAGAATGGGGAAGTCCTGGAAAGGAAAATTGAAAGAGAGCAAAAGATTTAGATAATATGATTGTGGTCTGTAGATTCTGGACATATCTCTTACAATGACACAAGTAAATACATTCATGGATTAATCATAGTAAAGTTAGGGGGAAATGTGCATCCTTCATTGTCAGCAATGCACCACACTCTTGGTGTTAATATCACTTAAATCAAGAAATGCTATAAGCAAATCCTACCCAGCAAGAAATAAGTTGGCTTTAAAGAATGGTTTGTATATGATGAAGAAGAGATTTGATCGTAAGAAGACTCCTCCATTTAACCTGGATTTTATATTCTAGTGAGGAGTTCTTCATTTTTGGACAGGAATTTGACCTTGGATTATAACTGGATATATCAGGAGTAACAGGCGCGCCGGAAGCAGTTTGGGATTGGGGGGGCAAACATTCCAGGGGGCTCACCTTCCGAGGGCAGTGACGTAATGAGAAAAAACGTTCGGAAGGGGGGGGGGGCAGACGAAAAATCTGCATCACCACCAGTCTTACACGTTACATGCAGGTCCCGCGGAACGTTTTTCAAAGTGAAGTATTAACGATCAGGTAGAGCGTAAATTGGCGTGGGGTCCAGCCTCGGCAGGGTGTCAAGGCGCTGAGCCCCCGGAAGCTCAGGGATTTTAGGTATTTAATTACGGTTAGATGAGCATCCAGGGGCCTCTTTAAGGCCATTGACGTGTTCCAGAGGGGGGGGGGGAGCCCCCAGAAGCTCAGAGGTTTTAATATTTAACTACGGTCAGATGAGCAACCAAGGGCCGCCCTAGGGCACTTGGTGGGGTCCAGGGGGCAGGGCCCCCGGAAGCTCAGGGGTTTTAGGTATTGAATAATGGTCAGATGAGCATCCAGGGGCCCGCCTTATAGGGCCCTTGGTGGGGTCCAGGGGGCAGAGCCCCCGGAAGCTCAGGGGTTTTAGGTATTTAATAATGGTCAGATGAGCATCCAGGGGCCCGCCTTATAGGGCCCTTGGTGGGGTCCAGGGGGCAGAGCCCCCGGAAGCTCAGGGGTTTTAGGTATTTAACTACGGTCAGATGAGCAACCAGGGGCCGCCCTAGGGCACTTGGTGGGGTCCAGGGGGCAGGGCCCCCGGAAGCTCAGGGGTTTTAGGTATTGAATAATGGTCAGATGAGCATCCAGGGGCCCGCCTTATAGGGCCCTTGGTGGGGTCCAGGGGGCAGAGCCACCGGAAGCTCAGGGGTTTTAGGTATTTAATAATGGTCAGATGAGCATCCAGGGGCCCGCCTTATAGGGCCCTTGGTGGGGTCCAGGGGGCAGAGCCCCCGGAAGCTCAGGGGTTTTAGGTATTTAATTACGGTCAGATGAGCATCCAGGGGCCCGCCTTAGAGCCCTTGGTGGGGTCCAGGGGGCAGAGCCCCCGGAAGCTCAGGGGTTTTAGGTATTTAATTACGGTCAGATGAGCATCCAGGGGCCCGCCTTAGAGCCCTTGGTGGGGTCCAGGGGGCAGAGCCCCCGGAAGCTCAGGGGTTTTAGGTATTTAATTACGGTCAGATGAGCATCCAGGGGCCCGCCTTAGGGCCCTTGGTGGGGTCCGGGGGCGGAGCACCCGTAAGCTCTGGGGTTTTAGGCATTTAATTACGGTCAGATGAGCATTTTTTATGCCTTATTTGTGACATTGGCAGGTCACTTATTTTTTCTCTCCGTCTTTCTTTCTTTTTCTCTTTAACATACTTTTTCAAAAAGTGAGGGGGGAGGGGCTCGAGCCCAGCCACTTTGCAGACCATGTCATAAAGGCTTCTAAATAAGCGTATTTTTCGCCCGACTGTAATTTGGGAATTTCTTATTTTCCAACAAACGCATAAAAAGGTATGACTTTAAAAAAAATGGAGAAAAAATACCGGAAAATCATGTCATAACAGCAACATGTGTAAATCACTGGTATCGTATAGATATACCCCCCCCCCCCCCCCCCCCCATCAGTACGCCAGCGTTCAGGGGCTCATGTCTTCTCACCCCTATAACAAAACCAAAAAACAGACACGTTTTCCCATTCTCGCACAATATGTCCACGATATGCGCGTATCGCTATTATAAACCGTATAGGTAGCATGCGCAATGTTTATAAAAATTTAATTCCTGTGAACTTTCCTTTTCTTTGAATGGAATGGTATATGTGCTTTAATTCAGGTTTTTATTATTGTTATGTTCTTTTGGGTTAAAAATACAAACCATGTTTATTCCTTTACTGCTTTTTTTTTTTTTTTTTGGAGGGGGGGGGGGGGCGTTTTGGGGGGGGCAAAAATGCGTTTTGCCCCCCCACTTTTTTGACTGGGGGGGCAACTGCCCCCCCTGCCCCCCCACTTCCGGCGCCTATGAGGAGTAATATAATAACAGCCATTAAACTAAAGATCAGCTTGCGATTTCTGAGTGTTAAATTTGTAATTAAGTATTCAAGCTAACAATATTATTTTCCCCCGTTCATTTTTACATGCATGGCATGGTCAAAATCAGGTCCAAATTTTTAAAGGGAAGAAATCCCCAGCCGATAGTTTCGCCATCGAGTCTTGTTTTTCCAGCAATAGTCCTGGTACTCTCAGCAATCATTTCGGTAAATAAAAAATCAGCCCTAAAAGGCTCGGTCCATATCGCGCACATGAAACTCAAAACTTTTTTGTTTGCGTTACACATTTAATACAGACCTCTATTCTTTTGTGGCCCTTTTCTTCTTTTTTTTGTTGGGGAGGGGCGAGTAGATTTTCCTCAGAGATTTGAGCAGGTGACCAAGAAATGCACACACTTAGTATGAAGCAGCGCTTCACCGAGATTGACGATAGATTTCCGGACATTTGAACAACTACTTGCTCTAGATCTAGTCTACTCTACTCTAGCCTAGATCTAAATATTGTTGAAATTTTCTTAATCAAACATTCTTCTAGTTTTTTCTAGCGGTTACCGTTTATGTGCCCATCCAATTCTAAGCATAATATTTCAAGACTTTATCTTAACTGATATTGGAAGAGTATAAATTTTCTTCTAGTTTTATATTAATTTTATTACATTATTGACGGTTTATATGAACATTGTGAGCAATAAAGTGTGTCCACTTTCTTTTTCTGCTTAGTGTACCAACATGAACAAGCAGACACAAATACATACGGATGGGGCAATACAAACTAAATATGACTCCACGGCATGGGGCTCAAGAATAGCGCGAATCTCGGTCAATCCGACATCAAATCACACCAAATGAAAATATAAAGGTTTAGAAATGTTTGAATATCATCATATTAAACTTTAGGAACTATCGGTGCAGTAATATACTTACAGCCTCTTCCCAATTCAGTCGATTATACGTGTTTGCGCTTTTGCTCACCGCCATCACTTTTACATCTGAAGTTATCGATCAAAAAGAAACACAATTTGATGTTACGGTAGTGCATATATTTCATCAACCACATCGTTCACTCGTTTACGGTCAAACGTATTACTTACGATGACCACCTCTCTATAAAGCCCACCTGTCCACAGTGGTCATGTATTTTACAGGTTTGACTGTATGTTGTTATACGTCGGTATTAGGCAATCGGTCTTTTCATTCACTTTTTTTAATTCAACTTTAATCACCGACTAAATTGTCTTTTTATATAAACTTAAATTATGAAATAAATTGACCCCTCTCCCCCCCCCCCCCCCCCCCCTCTCTCTCTCTCTCTCTCTCTCTCTCTCTCTCTCTCTCTCTCTCTCTCTCTCTCTCTCTCTCTCTCTCTCTCTCTCTCTCTCTCTCTCTCTACCCATATCTAAACCCAAAACTCATCTTTTCAAATTAGCACATGAATAGTATTTAAGGATAAGTAATGTTGTATTTTTTCTATTTGTAGGTACTTTATTGTTTTCTATGTTTCTGTTTCATCTTCCTTTCATGATCTTATTATACTTCATAATATTATATGTATATTGTAAAGCGCATTGAAATGTCAACAGACATGAAATGCACTATATTAAAAAGAACAAAGTATTTGTATTATTATTACCCCTCTTCATCTCTATACTCTTCATCTTCTTTTTCTTTCTCTCTCTCTCTCTCTCTCTCTCTCTCTCTCTCTTTCTCTCTGTTGGTATTTCTCCGCACCCTTTCTCTCTCGATCTCTCTCTTTCTCTAATTGCACACTCTCCGAATAAATGTATGATCGTCTTTCTGCTTTTGTTTTTGTAATGTTACGCTCATCACACCTCCCTGCTCCTTCCACCTCCTTCTTTATTTACAGGTTGTTCACGTTTTTAATGCACATGAAGTTAACAGAGGCCTGTCTTCATATTCTTTGACGAAATAGTTGTGCCTATATAGATTGTTCAATATTTATTTCAATGTCATGTTTTGCTTAAATTGCTTTTTAATTTTTTTTTTTTTTTTTAAATAACATCGTCTCAAGGTATAATGACATTTTTGTTACAGATAATTAACAAACAAAAAGTAATCATAGCAGCTCTTGTTTTGTTTTCCACCTGTACAAAGTTTACACATTTTCTACACATACATATATAACACATCTTATATATTCAACAATTTTACAAATAACTTAATCAACGTCTAGTTTCATTATGCACAAACTTGTCGAAATTCTCCTCTTACAGATATAACATATCTTATATACTAGTATTCAGTACAAAATAACGTTATTATCGTCTACTTTCATTATCTTTACGAATGTTTCGTTATTTAAATTTCTTATCAATGATACTAATTTTCCAAGCAATATACTCTGGGAACTTTATATTGTACAATCCATGGTAGTGTGATATTCGTCTCCAATTTCCCCACTATGTGTTGGTGATATATTCGGACGTCTATGCATTCCAAGTTCAATGGGTAAATTATCTTTTCCTAAATAGGCAAATATTTTAATGTAATTTCTTACTTTTTTTTTACAAAAGTTAAATATTTTTCTTGGTTTATGTTTTGCTTAAATAATCTACATGTTCGTAATTTACTTTTCTACTTTCCGTAAATGTAATCCTTTATAAATTGAGAATCATATCTCGAAGTTTAATTTCTGTTTTCTCTCCGACTATATTATCGCTATTTATAATATTTTCTAATTCTAGACATGCATTATTTCCGTCAACGTATAAATTAACTTTCGTTACTAAGTCAATATTATATTTTGCTGAAATGTCTCTAATTTCTTGAAAAGAAGAATAAACCAAAGAGTTTTCATTAACAGTTTTCATGCGAATCCAATATTTCATGAATTACAAATATCGATATTCACCAGCTTCATCCAACACAGCCAATTTTCTACTCTTTTTACTTACCCCTAAGATATTTCTTATCCATTGTAAATAAACACTTTCTATACATGTTTATTTGCAGTAAGATATTAATAAACAGGCCTGCAATGTACAAACTTAATACTAACGATTTATAATCAAGATTAGTTTACTAAGTTACAATGTTGGAGATTGATTTTATATTATATAGATTTACTTAAATCATACATTTAACATTATTGTTATACACGTTATCTCTCGATCAACTTGAGCAATATTTTATTCGAATAAAAACATGTATATTGAAATATGATGCCAATAAATCATTTTTTAATGTCCTATATGATGATTGTTTTCCAGTTTTTGATTCAGAGAAAATGTTATAATAAAAATATATTTCATGATTTCCTTCCTGCTTCCCCAATGTCCCGAAAGAGCATTTAACCTACCTTTATCGAACACAATTTAGTTCATTGACACAGTGTTTGTTTCGGGGGGGGGGGGGGGGTAGAATTGGTCAAGACCATTTTTGGGGGACCAAAAAAAAAAAAGTGACCTCTTACCCCCCCCCCCCCCCCGCTTATTCAGCGGCTGGCTGAGTCGTTGCAAAATTTTCGGCCCGATTTATAAATGTTAACCCCCCCCCCCCCCCCCCCCCCTTGAAAAAATCCTGTGTACGCGCCTGCGAGACGTTGTAATATATGCTTCGTTGCTGCACAATGCACAAAGACGGTGGTCTGGTAATTCACCAGTCACCAGTAGTACTTGCAAAAATTACTCGAGTGTTTAAACTGTGTTGTTATCAGGGGTGTCGCTATACCTTTTTCGGTGGGGGGGGGGGGGTATAGAGGCCACCGATTACCAACAAAACTAGCCACCAATTACCGACAAATATATTATTAATGGCAATGTCCCAATGTCTACAAATTTAACCCCATAAACCCGGGGCCAGTTCCTAAGTTATATTCATTTCCTCCTCCACCCCCCTCCACCCTCCTGCGCGAAGCGCGGAAGCTTTGACACTTCATTAAATTATTAGAGAAAGAAGACGATTTGCTCACCGTTCTCGACTGTAGCCTTAATCCTTGTCTGAATTCTGTTCCCCCCTCCCGCGCGGAGTACGGAAGCTTTGACGTTTCATTAAATTATTACTCTTAATCCTTGTCTGAATTCTTTTTCGCCCATCCCCCGCGAAGCGCGGAACCGTTCACCTATCATTAAATTATTGGAGAAAGAAGACGAATCGTTGTACCGTTCTCGACTCTTAATCCTAGTCTGACTTCAATTGCCCCCCTCCCGCATGATGCTTTGACGTTTCATTAAATTATTACTTTTAATATTTGTCTGAAGCTTGTCGCACCCCCACACCCCCTTTAGCCACGCCCCTGGGTGTTATCCATTATTCCTTTTAAAGAAATGCAATTCCTCATGCTCTCGCACTTCTCTTTTATCGTTGTTTAATTCTCTTTCATTGTTTCCCTTCTCTCCTTTAACTCACAAAAATTCTCTCTTTCACCCTTTTTTCCATCTCTTTTTTTGTGTTCATCTTGTGCTTTTTTTTGGGGGGGGGGGGGAGGGGGCTATACGCCTGGCAAGAGGGACCCCATTATTATGCACACTGCAAAAATGTCGTGCCCCCGCCCCTTTCCCGGTAAAAAACATAACAAAAACATCTTCTTATAGTATCATCCCCCTTTCTTTCTTTTCCCTTCTCATTATTCTCCTTTTCCCCCTTTTCTCTCCTCCGGCCTTCCCCCTTTCTTCCTTTTCCGCCTCTTCTCTCCTCTCTCTTCCCCTTACTTCCTTTCCCCCTCCTTTTTCTCAGCTCTTCCCTTAATTTTTTCTCTCCCCGCTTTTCTTCTTCTTTCTCTCTTCCCTTTCATTTCTTTCCCCTCCTTTGTCTCCTTGTCTCCCTTTTTCTTCCCCCTTACCCCTTACCCCTTACCCCCCTTTAGTACCGGGGGGGGGGGGGCACGTGCCCCCTGTGCCCCTGAATCCGCCACAGAAACACACCAGGCAAGGTGCTCATCAGGGCGCTCCTATATAGGCTATGTTTTCGGTGCTTACAGCATTTAATGACTACACCATGGGTTGAGAGAGGTAAATGCAGATTAGTTTCTTGCCAAAATAGGCAATACGAGACGTTTAAAGCCCCACTGTCCTACTTGTAGCTACTTGCTCCCTATCCGCTCCCTATATAGAAAACTACCCCAATCGGTGCCTATTGGTCCCCTATGATCCTCTAATTTCTTATGTTATTTGAGAGCTGAGTTGTTCTAATCCCTCCTAGCCACATAGTGTTGATAAGCTTTAAAGTCAATGGTGGTTTGAGATGGCGACGCCACCATGAATGTAAATATTAGAAAATGTCATAAAACAATAATTATTGTCATTTTAATTGTTTTCATAATGCATGAGTCATAATTCACCGAGGGTAGCCTCATCAGTATACATACTGTTCGCCCTGAGGGCCCCGCAATCGTATAATTACTCATCATAATTAACGTCACGCATGAGTGATATACCGGATGTACCAATAATACCGGTATTTTTATTCAATGATTTATTAGGTAAAGGCGCCATTGTGTACATACTGATTGTAATCAGCTAGCTACCATGCAACGCACGGCAGCGATAGGTCTTAGATTATCTGCACGTGTTTGTTACAGGGGATTTTCTGTAAGAAAGGCAACCGGGATCTGTTCTTCTATTTTTACAAGCTCCAAAGTCACTGCTGTCAACATGAATAGTGGAGGAAAACCTCGAGTTTATGTAACTCGTAGGATTCCCAAAGAGGGTCTTGATTTACTTTCGAAAGAGTGAGTATATGCAGGCTACTGAATCTTTACAAATTAGATTCGATCGATCGCGTTTTCTTCCACCTGCGCGTACGCGTGAGTGGTAGCGGTGCAGCACCTGTCGGTGATCGCACAGCACCGGCCGCCCTCCATGCCAGCTTATCGCTGAATGGTGGGGTTGATAAATGTCGACGTCGAAAGTTTTACGTAGATATTTTATTAACATGAGGCTTTTGAGGTCATTTGACATTTTTGATCCATGACTTGTGGAATTCTGTTAAGTCTTGCACAATTGAATTAAATCTCAATAGATCTACATGTCATCAAAGGCGCTGGCCTAGCTGGTTCAACTCAGAAGCCTAGAAATCTATCCAAAATTTGACCCACTAAAACATACCCAAAATAAAGTAAATATTCATCAAATGTTTAAATAAAGATCATGAGTTAAAATTCATTATGTATTATTACCTGTTTTGTGTCAATTTTCTTGCTATTTTTTGATTAAAAAAAAAAAAAAACGTTGATATTAGTGTATTAGTGTATTGGTATACACTTTTTCACAGGTTTCACGGCAAACTGCTACACAATATAAGTCAAGTACATACTAATGGTGGGTTGCGGGCGAGCGTGTGCCTGTGTGAAGTTATCTACCGTAATGATCATAGGATCTGAGACATTACGGTAGATAACTTCACACAGGTGAGGTCGAGGGTTCGAATCCCAACACGGCACTAATATCCTTTGGTAAAATTAACCTGCACTTGCCACTCTCCACCCAGGTGTTAAATGGGTACCCGGTAGGATGCGACCTTCATTGTTGGTCAAACAGTTTATGAGCGTCAATTAACGCCTGGCTGGAATGCTCCCCAGGTAGTGGAGATTGTGCACACTGTGTGTGCGGGAGAGTATTGAATCCAATGACTGGGTATAATAGTACATCTGTAAAGCACTTAGAGACATTTGTATTAAGCGCTATATAAAAACGGAATATTATTATTATTCATAGGTGTGAGGTTTCAATATGGGACTCTGATGATGCTGTCCCCCAAGATGTCCTTCTCAAGAACATACCAGGCATCAGTGGTCTCTACTGCCTCCTCTCTGATCGTATTGATGGAGCCGTCATGGATGCCGCTGGACCAAGTTTAAAGGCCATCAGCACCCTCTCTGTAGGCTATGATCACATCAACCTGGACGAATGCAGGAAGAGGTAGGTAGAAGAATGGAGTTGACAGATTCTAAATACATCCAGGACCTACATGCATGTAGTCTTGTAATTTGGTTTTTACAGATGTGTATCAGTCCGTTATGACTATCGATGTCTGAAGATTTACTTGTAATGGCAAATGTATAAACTGGGGTCGGTTAAAGGTAAAGACCAGTTTTGGAAACGCCCCCCCTCTCAAAAAATGAAATGGAAGCTCTTATTACCAATCATGTGAAAGAATATGTTTTGACTAATACATGATGATAACAATTTTGCCGGGAAACCGCCTACTAATTGATATATTTCGTAAATTAGTTTATCTATTGGGACCAAATAGATAATATGCACGTGTGCATAGTCTCATATACATGTACAATGCTTGGAACTTAACGAAGACTGGGCCAGATTTCTTATCATTTTGATGATTCCAGAACCTTGTAGTTCACACCAATACTTATATGCTAGATGATCAACCTTTCCTGATCAATTCCACCACGTTTCTTTCACAATGCAATCGCATGACCAGAACTGGTCTTTATCTTTAAGAGTTGATTTGTTGGCAAAGAAAAAGATCTGACCCTTTATGTATACCTCTAAACCAACTTGCATTCAACTTTATTATCGGAGTGTTTTTGTCAGTACAGTGAGGATAAGGGAACAGCGAAAACAAATTCTCAAAGGGAATCTGAGGGATGTTTACTTTCCATTTACTAAAGATTATATTCAATTAAAATTTGACATAAAACCAGTCTATATCAGCAAGGTTATTCCCCCCACCTTCCAAAAGAGAAAAAGAAAAAGAAATATTTTCAAAATGGAATATGTGTATGCATGTGTACAATATTAGCAGCCACTTTTGCTCTCTTGCCTATCAAGTGGACGTACACAAATGGCAAATTGTTATCGTATCTTGTTGGAAGATTTCCATTCTACAATTTATGTTTCCCAAGCTTTCAGAGATAGATGAATACACTCATTCAGACAGGGGTGCTTCCAATTGTACACTTTCAATGAATGTTTGTATTTCTTATCTTTCAGAGGGATCCGTATAGGTTATACCCCAGGCATTCTGACTGATGCTACGGCCGAGCTTACAGTAGGTCTCCTATTAACAACATCAAGGAGACTTGCTGAGGGAGTCACCAATGTCAAAAAGTAAGTCATAGTCATATCTAGACTAGATGTATTAAACAAATTTAGCATTGTTTGTGTGTATATGACTGTAGGTCATTCAAGAATAATGTGATGTATTATTTAATATTTTGGCTCTGGAGAAAATATTAGGTGATCCTATCAAGGGCAATTTATATTTAGCTTTGTATGGGACTAAAGTGCTCTCTATTTCTTTCATTTTGTATTATTTTCATTGTTGATTAATTGTAGTGGAGGTTGGGGTACATGGAAGCCAATGTGGCTCACAGGCCCAGGTCTTCTCAACAGCACAGTGGGTCTCGTTGGACTAGGCAGGATAGGCATGGCAATCGCCCAGCGTCTCAAGCCGTTCGGCGTCAAGAGGTTCCTCTACAGCGGCAACAACAAGAAACCTGAAGCAGACAGTCTGCCGGCTGAATTTGGTAAGTCAATCATGGAGGTTGCGGTCTAAAAATTACTCATCAATCAGTTTTCTCAGGCTAGCAGAATACCTTCAGCTTGCTTCCAACTTACCCAGATTTAACCCTAAAATCCTTGTAACCTTAACCCTTTCTGCACTAGTTTGGCCAGGAGGGATTAGACCTCCCTGCCTGGTCACCATCAAATCAGCTCTCAATTAACATAAGGAAAAAGGGACCAGTGGTCCCTGCTTAGGCATTGTTTGCTATTTAGAGGGCAGAAGTAGCTATAAGTAGTGCAGTGGGGCTTTAAGATCGGTTCAAGTGAAATCACAACTCTTACACCAATCTTTACTTTGTGATTAGGATTATAAATTTAAATCCATTGAATTTCAGATGAACTATAAAGTGTGCAGACATATAGTACATTTATGTGGCACTTTTCAGTTCATGTTGCAGAACTTCTAGAAATAGGTCTCATGGAGAGTTTTATATATACCAGCATGTCTTATGAAAAGAGAATTGAAAAATAAAACTGCCAGCAAATGTAGAATGAACCCATTAGCATTTGGCTATGTGTAATCACAGTGTAAGTGGCAAGACTTTTAACTCTCACTGAGAGCAGTTTTATAACCTAATGCTTGAGTATATAGTTAGTATAATTTTAAGATTGGATACTAATTGTTAGGAAACACAATTTTGATTTTCTCCTATTCATTGTAAAATATCTTTTTTATATTACTTTTTTTTAGTACCTGTTTACAAAATTTGACCTACAGTTGTACAGTAAAGGGTCAGTGTACTAGTAAGTGAATACTGTTTTGCGAGATAAACACATGCACATTGTATAAATGTACAAAGTACATTTTTGCTGTCATAAAATGAGTTGTGAACTCCCACATTTGTTTTCTCTGTAAGGGATTCCAAAGTACTCACTATACTCTTTTGAGATAATTATAATTTTCTTGGGAATAATGCAAGAAATATCTGACTTGGTTTGAATGTTGTGATTGTTCATATATTTATTTCATTGTCAATTTATGATGTGTTAACTTTTTATACGATACACCAATAATACAGGTGCCATGTTGCATAAGTAATCATGGGATAGATAGGCCACAGGTTCAAGATTATTCAACTATTTCCAGTGCAAGATTAATTCATACCAGTGTTGAATGGGTTTTCATGGAGCTAATCAAGACAGGAAACAGGTAATTTTGAAAAACCATTGTGTTACGCAAAGCAATCCTTTTTTCAATCGATGCCTATTGTTTTGTGCAAAATTGCATGTGTTGCAACAGGCAACAGTGCAGAGTGGTGAGGAAAGCAGCCGAAGTGTTACTGCATACAAAAAGGTATGACCTTTTTAATGATGTGTACTATATGAATGATGAACATTGTTCTCTTGGTTTTTCCACAGTTCCCTTTGAGACCCTCGTGAAGGAGTCTGGTTTTGTGGTGGTCAGTTGCTCCCTCAACGCTCAGACCAAAGGGCTCTTCAACAAAAAGGTCTTTGAGATGATGAGCTCTAATGCCATCTTTGTCAACATTAGCAGGTGAGAGTAGAGGGGTTAAAGTCTCACTGCACTACTTATAGCTACTTGCACCCTCTATGTAGCAAACAATGCCTAATCGGTGCCATGATCCTCTTTTTCTTACGTTTAATTGAGAGCTGATTTGATGAGATAACCACCTGTCAGTGACCTTGCAGGGAGGTATAATCCCCCCTGGCCAAACTAGTGCAGACAGGCTTTAAATAGACTACCTAGAATTTGATTCCTTAAAATGCAAGAGCGCTGTAATGGCAACTGGCCATGCTAAAGCCAGGGTAATAATAATGGAGTACCAGCAGTGGCAATGTGCCGGACATGAGCGCTATACAGTACATGATTCCACTATCATTACTACAGTCAAACCTATCTTAGCGACCACCTGTCTGTAATGACCACCTGTCTGTAATGACCATCTGTGAGATTTCATGTGGTTAAGAACCTGTACACAAAGACCACCTTCCTAACGTGACCAGCAGCCACTCATTTTGTTTCCCTTGGGCGGTCGCTATAGACAGGTTTGACTGTATTACTATTGCTATTATTATTATTATTATCAAAGGTAGTCTAGAGATGTAGTCACAAGATCCATCTAGATTTACACTTGATGACGGTTCCATTCCATGCAGTTCGCCTGTCAGAATGATATAATGCTGTGTATCAGAATATGTTCTTCTTTCTGCTGGCAGTAACATATGACCACTATATAATATCAATATGCCTATTAATACAACTGGCATGTCTGGGCCTAGATGGTCATTATAGACTACAGATGACTGAGATGTATATTAGATGTTTGTTATAGGCTAGTTTGTTATGGAGAATCTGATTGATACACCAATTGGTTGAACATATCCTCATGTATTCCCACATGTGCATATTTGTGTTGGTGCTTTTCAGTGCATGCAAGTGATCTTCAGCAAGTTTTAGTAAATTTATTCATATTTTATTTGTTGAAACAAATCTGACTGTTGCTGCTGTAAACAATTCAGAACAATTCAAGCCCTAAATACCCCCTTAGTAGGCTAGACAAACCACAGCCTTAGAACTTTATATGAAGATTTAAATTAGGACCTCCTTGTTAACTATCCATATTCATTATTGAGTTAATGAAAAATCCAGATTAATTTGATCATGCAATTCCAACTTCTCATTTGAAATAAAATTATCTCTTAATTTTCATTTGATGGTGGTTGCAGAGGAGCTGTTGTGAATCAGGATGACCTTCACGAGGCTTTGACCACTGGTCAGATCAGAGCAGCTGGTCTTGATGTGACCACCCCAGAACCTCTACCCACTGACCATCCACTCCTCAAACTCGATAACTGTGGTAAGTAGCCCATCCAGTTGTATCCACTCATACATAGTTCCATGTGGGAGTGTTCACATAGGCAATGTTATATACACATGTGCCTATTGCAAGGAGGCTGTCCACTCTTGTCCAGTTCAACTCAAAGAAGTTCAGAGTTTTCTAAAGGCCTAAATGAATCAGCCTTTCTTTCTCAAATTTGGCAAGTTATTTGTATTTTACACTCTTTCATAGTTACAAAATAAAAAAATGTATATTAAAAGAAATAATATGAATGAAAATTAGAAAATAATGAACAAGAAATGGCCAATTTAGAGACTATAGTGATGATATTCAATTAAATTGCTCTTATTTATGAAAGGTACAAAATATTTAAACGTTTGGACTCGATTAAAAAAAAAAAGTTTCTGCTCTTTTATAAATTGTAATTTAGAGCATTTGTGATCAAATATAAAAGTAAGACATCACTAAAAGGTGACACTAAACTGCTGGTTAATAGGACTGTGTTACGCTGACAGTGTTGAGCTTAGTGTCATACACGCACCCGTTTCTCTAAATTCAGAAAGGGCAAGATCAAAACCTTGTGCTCTGGAAGGTTATAAGTAAATTCCAGTTTCTATCAATTTGAAAAGGGCAAGACCGAAAATCTAGCGCCGTGCAAATTCGAATATCAGTTTATCTTATTTTGCAATGGGTGAGATTAAACCATAATGCTGCACAATTTTAAAATCACTTCTTCTCTTCCTTACCTTTCAGTTGTCTTTCCTCACATCGGCAGTGCATCGGAGGAGACAAGGATAGCCATGTCCATCCTCACTACACGCAACCTTTTAGCCGGTCTCATGGGCGAAGAGATGCCAGAAGAGGTCCAATTGTAATGCAGGTCGGACTTAGAAGTACCAATCACTAATTATTAATTTTTATTGTTCTGTACGTTAGTTGTTCCATGTGGTAATAGTGTATTCGAAATATGACCTTCAAATAGTACTTCTGAAAAGAAATTTTGAAAGTTTAAAGCCTGTCTGCACTAGTTTGGCCAGGGGATTAGACCTCCCTGCAAGGTCACTGACAGGGGGTTATCTCATCAGATCAGCTCTCAATTAATAAGAAAAAGGGGATCATGGGGGACCAACAGGCACTAATTAGGCATTGTTTGCTATATAGAAGGCACAAATAGCTATAACTAGTGCACTGGTGCTTTAAATACACTCTCACTTATCAATCATAAAGGCAACTGGTCATTAGACTACTGGACACACCTGTATTTGATTCCACAAGATAAGGCCTTTAGGAAACTTGAGTCAGACTTGAGTTCTGTTTGCACAGCTTTGTGATATTTTTATGTTCTTCATACTCCTTATCCGCTAAGACCCCTAGCCCATAAAAGAATATGGGGTGATGTTTTTAAAGTTATTTTTCATACATTCGAGCTGTACACAAATTATATTCTTTTAGGTGATTGGTACATGTACCAGTGAAATGGGCCGTGAGCTACAGGTGTATCACCGCAAGTGAAATAAATTAGTGGACTTTGCAGCTTAAGGTTTTGTTGTCACTATGAAATGCTGCATTCGACCCAGCAATTATACGGGCATCGTTTCACAAAACCGTCATAAGTACAAGCTCACTGACATTCCAATGAAACATAGTATTTCAATGAGTTATTGTCGAACTTGTACGGTCTTGTGAAATGCTGCCCAGGTATGTAAAATAAAAGTAACAAGTTTTCACTATCAAAGCTCCACACTTAGCGACGGTATTCTATGCGAGGATATTCTTTATATTAAATAAGGTAGTAGGAAAATAGCAGCTGAAAACTATTTATTGCTGATCTGAAGAAAAAGATATGCCTACTTCTTAATTTTCATGAATACTCCAATTCTTTATTGATATGACATAATTTTTTGTAAGCAAATATATGTCATTGTTCAATCTGGGAGAAAGCATACAAACAATAAGAACCTAGGATAATATCTGCTGAGGTGCACACTAATCATGTACAAAATCTAGATAACCAAATAATAAGCATATCTTTTAGAAAAACGGGTCTAAATCCACTACATTTGTGTGGTAATGTCTGCTGTGTTTGTGTATTATTTTTTAATTTTCGAAGGCTACCTGAAAGGCTTGTACCCTTTTGTTGTGTATGTATTTCTGCTGGGATTACATCCCAAATATAAAATAAAATATTTGTTATAACAGGGTAGAACCAGCCAGACACAAAGGCCCGAATTCACAAAGCAAGGTTTGAGCTCAGACCAAGGTTTGAGCTCAAACCTCCTTTTGTTTCGCCAAACCTCCTTTTGTTCTTTACAAACCAGGTTTGTAAAAAACGCGTAAAACGCGTCATATGACGTACGAAAACCAAGGTTTGTCGACAAACCTCCTTTGTGAATTCGGGCCAAAGTGTCGATTGCTCAAATTATTTGTAGGTCTCTAAAGAAATTATATCTTGAGTTTCATTAAGTATGATCCAGCCATTCTCAAGTGCTGCTATAGTAAGACAAATTTCCAGAGCTTTACCTTGTAGAATAAGTTCATCAAAGACAGATCAGAAAAGCGAGGTCATTATTTATCAGGGAGCACTCTATGTGTGTGAGGACACATATTTAATATTTTCTGGACTCAGTCTCTGTAATGGTGCTTGGTAGAGGTTGTGTGTAATTTGTTTGTGATGTTTGATAATTGATGTATAATTAAATCTTGAGTGTATACTGTAGTATATTCCAGGGAAAATGTGCTTTAACGGCAATTTGCCCGTGAACTCACAAAAAGCCCATCGATGGAAAAGAGCCTTTGTTAAAAGCAAAGTAACAAAGCTAAACAACAACAAAATCTATATCTGTTGAAGTTGTAGTGCATAAAAGTACTGGATAGACACAGTTCATAATTTTTGTTTTACTTGATAAGTTACCCTTCTTGGTTTTGTTGTTGAATTGTAACCATGAGAATAATAGTTTCTTTATTTGTAGTTGGTGTTTCTGTTGGTAAACCAAGTAATTGTCAAAGCAGGAATAGCATGTACATGTATTAGAAATAATGAAGTATACAGTATACAGAGATATCAATGCTCAAACTTGAGTGGCAGAACTTTTGAAATTTATAATTTGAGGAGTTTAAATACACTATTTATACCAAAGATGTGTTGCTTGGTGTACAAATGATACATGTTAACTGGACAATGTGCACATGTAATAAATAGTAATAAAGGTCTTTATCAAAACTACTGTGTTTTGAGTGTCTTCTTTTTTAATGGTTATATAGGTTACACCCTTAGTTGACAGGAAAGAATCATTTTAGTTCATTTTTTATGTTTGATGATTTTTCGTCCAATTCTTATAAATACAGTTGAGTTAACACTGCATAACTTGAACTAGCTCAAGTAAAATTTTTCCATAAGGCGACCTAATAGATTTGATTTGTGTAGATTTAGCACCTGGGTGGAGAAAAGAAATTTAGATAAAATGCCTTGCTCAAGGACATAATGAGGCTGCATAATTATAGAGGGAAGGTTGATCCTACATGTAGAATTATACATGTATGTGAAGGTTTAAAGAGAAAGTCGAGTTCTGGGGAGATGTGAAAATACTTTGTGTCCGTTATCATTCTTATTATGCAAGTGTGGAACAACATCAGAAAAAAAATGTTTCCTGAAAGCACAGCTCTTCAAATGACTTTATATTTTTAATATGACAAGTAACAGCTCAAAAAAGAGGCCCAATTTTTGTACTGTGCTCGTTACTTAACCAAGACTGTGCCAAATTTCCTTTCATTTTGATGACTCCAGAACCTTGCAGTACACACCAATACTATGCTACATGATCAACTTTTTCTGATCAATTCCACACCGTTTCTTTCACAATGCAATATATCGCATGACCAGAACTCAACTTTATCTTTAAGAGCACTTTTTGTAAATTAATTTCTGATGTACATATCCATGCTTGTATATCCCTTTATACAGTCAATGTGCATGTAAATACCCGTACCTGTATTTCTGTGACACTAAATTCACATAAAACTTTGCATAGAAATGGACAATAAATCAACAAGAAACACAGAAGATCCAAGACTATTGTGACTTTCAATTTTATTAAATTGCACTCTCCGTTTTCTAAACCCTGTACCTCATGATACACATACATTAAAAATATGTAGCATATAAATTGACTGCTATCTATTCTTTCTTTATATTACAAGCAACAAAAAAGAACAATTACCAATTAAAATGTACTTTCATTTTAAAAGTATTCATACAAAGAAGAGTCTTCCATTTAACTGCAAAAATTTAATTCTAGCATATCTGTTCATGAATTCCTATTTTTTTAATGAATTCAATGAAATACATAACTCTGGTGCCCCTCCTATCAACTCTACTGTAAATAGTTCATTAGTAGTGTGAAGAATATAAAGAACACATTATGTGTAAGAAATAACTGAAAACTGGCTGTTGTGACAAAACGTGATGAGAAGTGGTAAAGAGCCACGCTTACTGAAAATGAGGTTTTTCTAAATTGAAATTTGCAAAGGAGAAAAAAGGAGAGGGCCTCAGATATTCAAACATTCTGACAAGAGTTGTTAATATACAAACAAACAAAATTGTATTTTTCTTTTGTAATGCTTGATATCAGTTCAGACTGTACATCGCTGAAATAAATCTGAATGAGAATGTCTCACTCGATCTCACACCCCTCTACAGAACTAAATATATAAGAGGTTGACAAGTCTGGTAATAATAGAAATGACAAAATGAGAGATAGAGAGAGAGAGAGAGAGAGAGAGAGAGGGAGAGAGGGAGAGGGGGGGGGGGGGGGGTGGTGGGGGTGGTGCTTATATGTACATCCAGAGAGCAGATAGAAATAAGTAATGAGTTAGGAAAGGAGAGACAGCACTATATACGAAGAAACAAGAGAGAGAGAGTACGTCGAAGGGTAAATTTACTCTTCACCAAATACTGCATATATTTTAAAGTAGGCCTGCATGTACTTCATTGGCTTCTTTTAAAAGTTTGCAATAATTCCAAATTCAAAAGTGCAATTCTAAAGTTTTCTGTTGACATTTGAAATGGCATGAGATATTTGAAGGCACAGTGTGGTGCGATCACAGTGAAATGTTTGTGAGAGTTGAGGCTGGTCTTCGTGAATACATGAATATATAATCTCCTTATGTAACTTTCATATACATAAACAGTATTCCTCTTCCGTGTACTAAATATTATAAAACTACTCATTCCAGATTCAATGTTTCATGTTAACAACAACGACTTAGAAATGTAAAAGTTAAAATAATAAGAAAAAGATTTTTTCCCTTCATTTTCATGCTTGATAATGTAAAAATTCGTTAAAAGGGATATAAGTTACATCTACATACTATGTACATACTATGTACATACCGGTATGTATATGAATATGTACATGCCTATGTTATGGCAATTAAAAATATATTTTTAATAATTTGAATATATAGCGAGGCACGATGGCTCAGTGGCCGGTAGAGCAGTGGTTCGTAACCGGGAGGTCCCGGATTCAAAACCAGGTTGATGCGCTAGAGCCCTTTGATATAAAAGCATTAATCCTCATTACCAGAGAGGACTTAAAGCCATAGGTCCCCTGGTTGCTTACTTTTAATACATGCAAACGCAGGCTTTCTTAGCAGTAGGGTTAAACAAACTAACAAAAATAACATATACATTGAGTACACTTACATGCATGGACACACATACAGAAAAATGTTCTGACAAAAGATTCTTTGAGTGAAAATCTTTTTCCCTACGTAAGATAATGGTATGAAACTCTTGGCATTAACTGGCTCGACATTTCATACTAACTTCTTGGCTATAAATAGTTCAAATGGAATTTTAAAAAATTGAATAAAGGCAGTACTATATAGATAACGTTACACCCTCTCACATCATATTGGTATTCATTAGACATTCAAAATCTCTGCTATATAGTTTCGGGTGTGGGCCAAAATGAAATAACTTCATTTACCTTTGCTAACGTATTTCATTTCAATAAAAAATTAGTTTACAACAACAACAAGTAAGAATGGAATACATACAGTGAAATTAATATTCAAATTTGCCTTCATTGTTTACGAATAAGGAACAAAATGAGGAATGATTTTCTTAGTACAGTACTAACAAGAAAAGACTTTGTGACAATCCACAATCAGAATAATACATAAAATAATTTTAAAATAACATTATATTTCTTTTGATTAGATGAAACTTTATACTAAAACACAATTATACTGGTTTTGTTTTATAAAAGCTAAAAACATCCCAAAGTGTACAGATTTTTGTTGTTTTTGTTTTAGTATAAAAAAGAAGGAACATTTTTATGTACATGATATGCTATTGGGTGATGATGTAATGATTTATTATTCCATTAAAGAAACCAAAATCATAATTTAAAATTCATAATAAAAACAAATTGAATCATTTTACAATATCTTAATTTAAACTATCATTAAAAACAATTAAAGAAAAACATAATTACTGTTACATCATATTTACATTGTTTATTTACGAGTGTGCCCATCCCTAGAGAAACTAAAACTTAGATTAAAAAGAAGATATGGTGAAAAGAGTTGCCCAAAAAGGTGGGGCAAAGAGAACTAGTATCAGTACTTGGAGATCTATTATTATCATAAAACCCTCAGAAAAAGTTTGTAAATTTAATTTTGATTGAGTATATAAATATTCTCTATGACCTGTAGCTCTCAAACTTACATATTATACATGTACATGAATTGCAACATCAAGTGTAAAATGACTCTCATAAACAAGAACTGTCTTAATCAATTAGATGTCATTTTCATTTTCTTATAATAAATGTGATGATATAATCATTTGTTAATACTACACAGAGAAACTTGTGTACTGAACGTGAAAATTACAGATATTAATGTAGACATTGCTATGCATGGAGCCAGATTACTAATGCAGAACAGAAATTAGAGGGAAAAGTTGGACAATATGATATTTGTCCATCACAAATTGTTTGAATAAAGTAGAAGAGTAAGTGTGTCAAAATTAAGTACATTATGTAAATTCTGAAAAGTTTGGCTTGCACTATTACTAAATTAAGCTCTAGATATAACAGGAAGGAAAAGAAACAAAACAATAAATACATACCATAATATATATGTGTACACCACACTGTACATTAGGAATGTAATTTTACTTGCACAATCATATATCATTCACCTTCTAAAAAATATATACATCAACGTAGTATGCAAAAATAATCTCATATCATTCCAATATCTATTTTACCTTAGTATTGCAAATGAAATCAAATCGGAGATGGCAAAAATAGTTGTTTAGTGAGTGAATAAATTATCTCTTCACCAATAAATACATAATTTACAAAATATGTACATGTACACAGCGATTGAAGTAGACTGTGCTAGTACGATAAGGCGAGAATCACGGACAGGTACTTTGGTAAATATTTGTGAAAGACGTACCTACACATGTATGAGTAAAAAACAGTTACTTTACTTCTACATTTCATCTGCTTGAGTGCAAGAAGGACGTTAACTGGTACACCCTATCAACATCCTTCTGGCTCTAAGCGATGAATTTCTTTTTCCTTTTTACATGCGATCTGTTCGGAGCTAGAAGGGCATTAACTCATTTTACACAGAGTTAATTACTGGGAAACCCCCTTTTGTCTCTGAACATACCGGTATGATATTATGTATTTGGAGCCAGATGGGCATTAACTCATCATTTTACACAGAGTCTGCGCCCTCCTGGCTCCAAACAGACAAAGTGCTTCTATTCATAGTTGTGTTAAGTCATTGCTGCTGAGATACTGTGATAATACTTCCATTAAATGCATCTTTTAAGCTCTCATTACACCATGTAGTACAGTGAATAACAACACAAGGAACTTATGATTATGTGCAACCTGAAAAATAGTCCCAAACAGAAACTAGATCTTTTAAATTTTTCATTTGATAGTTGCATTTAAATATCAAAAGGGAATATCATAATGGGGACCCATATTAAGTGATAAGTAGATTGAGGAATAAAACTATAACCAAAAAGGAAATTGTTGATGTGTTCAAATGAGTTACAAAGATATAGGTCTTGTATCTGTGAACAGTTTTTCAAAGAAATGTGCCTTGTCAATTACACATTCATTCAAGACAAGAAGTCATTTAAGTACAAAGTTTTGATAAATAGAATAGAAACAAAGGCAAGCAAGATGGCTCGATAAATTGAAATGAGATAAATAACTCTATAAACAGATCTATTGCAGCAAGTTTTGGGCCCATTAGATAAAATGTACTTTCATTTTTTAAGTGGAATAAGTCATAGAGCAAGAGTAAGCTATAGATTTAATAAGTTAATAGAATATCCTATGTCATTTTAGGGCATTTAATATAGGCAAGAAATCAGATGATAAAGTGAGAACATAGGCAGGACGAAATGGTAAAGATCTATAATTTTGAATACAAATATTAAGAATAGAGCATGGAAATCTAGCAATGAAAACCAGATATTTATTGGTCATCTTTGATTTATCTTCATCCCTTCAATAACAAACCAAAGAATAGCACACTTACTTGTCTATCTTTCAATTTAAAGATAATACTTCAGATTCATTTTGAAATTTATTCAGAGGAGCTACAAAGTCATGCTTACATTATTTCAAGTATTTTAAAAAATAAAGTCAAGGGACTGATAATAAATGATTCATTATTTACTGGTGAATAACAAACGAAACAAGAGGTATAATAGGATACATAGGATTTAATATATCATGAATTTCTTAGAATTTCCTCATTCTTTTATCTATTTAATAGTCACTGCTATGAAAGATACTTATTGCACTAACCTAAATGGCACTGCGAATGTATGGTGTAAACTTGGTCTTAATTTCTTCTCAAGATAAATACCTATTCTTGATTTATTTTGTAATGCTACAAATAAAGAAATTAGTGAATTATGACCCTGTTTAAAATACAGTTAGGTATATTCATATCAGTAACATACTCTGCTGCTTAATACAAAGAGGAATACAAATGAAATGGTTTTACAACCATGAACTAGTTCCTCTGTAATGGAGAAGCTCTTTTTTCATGAAACATGCAATAATATTTCACAAAACTTGTCATCAGTGACAAATGACAGTTTTTGTTTTAAGCTACTGAAACCCTTGCTTCTGTTTGGTTATCAGCAGATTTGTCACTGATTTTTGCCATTTGTCATTGAAATAAGGCTTTGTGAAATGGGTCCTATAGGTCTATTGTCAAGTGTCAGGCACAAAGGAATTTACAAGGGAATTTCCCCTCACAAACTATTAGGAATGCTCTTGTTATAAAGACCTTCAATTGAGCAAACAGAGATCATTTTTAATGCACAGAAAAGTGCTTATTAGAATTTATCCAGATGAAGAGACATTTATAAAATTGCTGCATTTCAAGAATTCAATCTGTTTAAAAGCATCCTGCAATAGACTTGCAGCATGATTAAATCGTAACATCTGGAAGGGTTCCTCAAAGGTTTGTTGTCATTACATCACTGGCTTCCCACTGTTCAGATGATAGATCATTCTCTTGTAGTGATTCGCTGGTCCCAGACATCCCTGAAACATCAATATCCTGTGGAGTCACGTCATAGGAGGAGTTTAGTATGGGTGCAGCCCTCCTTGGGTTCGGGGGAGTGCTGGAGGGAGAGACGGTGTACGTGTAGGAAGAAATCTCTGATGCTGGGACGAGCGGGGTGAACTGGTCGTCCAGGAACTCGTCGAGGATCTTATCGCTGCTGTTCTCTTCATCGCTGTTGGGTGGGATATTCCCAAAGGCACCGGGGCGTTTCATCTTTGGGGCGACCGGAGGGGGCACCTTGATGGGGGTGCCAGCGGCGCTGCCCTTCTTGGCCCCTCGATCCAAGGACTGGTGCCCGCTGTCGATGGAGCTTGGTCGGGAATCCGCTCGCCCCATCCGGAGGAGATGGACGTCATTGTGGGTCTGAGAGTCGGCTAGACTGCCGGGGTAGGGCTTTCGAGGGTCAAAGGTCCCTGACGGGGAGGTTGATTTAGATGGGATGGATGGGGTAGAGGCCTCAGAGTTTGTATATGAGCGATCCTAATATAATGAATTAAATCAGAAAACAAAGTTCAGAAAATAAATAGTAGTATATAGCAAAATATGATAAATGTTAATAACATTATTTTGAAACAATGGCATAATACATTATTTTGTCTACATCATTTGAAAATTTAATTGTTTACTAAGAAAAGGGTATACAACTAGTTGCTTCATATACAAAATTAATTACAAATTGAAAGATAAAAAAAGGAAATGGCATAATTTAAGTATAATCAAAACAATTGTTTCACAAAAGTTAACTTGCATATGAGACAAGACAGTTGTGGAAAACATACTTATAGAATTTATGATAATAGTTAGCATAAATACTTTAGATCTTCTTTTTCTCAAACAATTGTTTGATTGATACATTGGATAGCGATTTTTCAAAGGAAATGTTAGAAAGTGGTGAAATTTGGAGAAACAATGAATTAGAAATAGTTCAATTAAAGAAATCTTGAAATGAGTAAATTCACAGCTGTTAGGTTCAGAGTAAAAAGGTGTGGCTCTAGAATGCAGAATATTAGTAATGAAATTGAATTGGGAAAAATAATGTATTGCTTGAAAAAGAACAAAAGAACAAAAGATAAACTGTGCCTCAATGTATTACACTGATAGTGTACGTGGTGTACTTCTCCCATTTAGTCACTTAACCGTTCTTGGAATTTTCTATAGGCATTTTGGGCAATGGTTTTATACAAGGATGTTATCGATAAATATCAGGCGTCACATACTGAACGCAATCTTACAAAAAATGTTTGAGTAAAAAACGATCTACTAGTCAAGAAAAAGTCAATTGTATTGCCTGCAATTATGGGGTGTATGATAACTGCACTACAACGTTTCAAAATTACAAGAAATCATCTAAATTGTAGATCATGTTTTAGCAATAACTTGTATTCTGATTTTTTTTTCTTTGACGAAATGTATTTTCAAAATCAAGAACCTAATTTCCTGAAAAGGTAGACTTCCTGAATAAGATAGAGACCGATTTTGTTTAATTTGTATTCAAACATATCAACACGTATTGCATGGTTTTACAAAACCCTTTACAAACTGGATCTGACAAACATGTACAAAGAAGGTGTGCCTATTTTATTTGGTTTTCCTATTTTATTGAGACACCATGTAGACATGAAAGTGCAGAGAACTTACAAAAACAGAAAGTTGAAGCTAAAAGATCAAGATGATGGGAGGCAGATGACCTAGATCAGCTGACACGTGAATGACCCCCAGAGCATGATGGTGGAAGGTTAAAGGTCAAAGGTCACAGGGTGGGTATATGTAAAAGATTGGAGTTGGTATATTTTCATTTTTAGTGATGAAGATGAGATGAAAAAGTGATTAGAATTTGTAAGAGATGATCAGAGATGTATATAAAATAGATAATAAGATGGAAGGAAAAGAAAGAGGTCTCAATCCATTTTCCAAGCAGCAAATTGTATCGTGTGGATTTTGACATTATTTTAGATTAGCATGAATACAAAAGTTGCATGATGTAAAGTTAAAATCAATGTTATTCAAAACAACATGAAAGAAAGAGTAAAACAGAATAGTTTGTGTATCATTGTATATAGTTGGATATTGACATTGTTTCAAAATAGCGTGAAGATCATCAATACAAAAGTTGGATTATGAAAATAAGAATCAAGGAAATATTTTGATCAGAATAATATATGAGAGAGAGAGAGAGAGAGAGAGAAAATCAGAATAATTTGTGTATGTGAGTGAAATGTGAATTGCAAGGTGGTTTTTAGGAAGGATGGGAAAGAGAGAAAAAAAAAGATTAAAGATTAGCATAATTTTCCCATCTCAAAGAAATAAGGCATATGCCCAAAGAACCAGAGAAAATATGGATAATTATATAACAGCTCTGTACAGGCCAATGACAAAATAACAACATGAATATATTTATCAGTCGCAAACATAGACATGTGCTGACAGTGCTACATAAACTTAACAATGGAACTGTAAAACTTGAGAATCAATAAATTGATTATATTAATATTTGTAAAGTAAAGAAAATTTAAACCCAAAAATATCAATATATCTAAAATTTCAAGTTGAATCAAACTGTTTTTGACTTGTTAAAAATTTGATGAATTAATCTTTAGTTAGATATTTTAATTCATTAATATTTGATTTATAAATTCATCTTCATTGACAAATTCCTGACATTAAAGTATTAAGCAAGAACATTAAAGTACCAGAAATCTCAACAACAATTTTAAGCACATCAAAGTTTTTAAAAAAAATCCCAGCAAATTCAGTAAACATTGAACACATTAATTTGCTTGATTACATATTGAACTCTTTCTGCTAAGTCTCAGAGTACAGAATCAATTTACAACAAGTCATTTTCTTCACTTTTATCAATTGTACTCAAAACACCCAGAAGGAAACCAGAAGGAAAGAAAGGAAACCAGAAGGAAAGAGAGGAAAAATAAGAAGAATGAAAAACAAGATGGACTTTTAGGGTGAGATCTTGTTTTGGGTAGGACTATACGCTACCAAGCCAACGTCATATCACCCTTTTTTATGAACTATTTAAAAAAAAGACATCCTTGCTTCATTTGTACTAGGAGCTGTGGTAAGAGGAGACATAATATAAATGTACTATATTAAACTAGATTAGACTAGCTTCCACAAGACTAGATCCGACTCAAAAAGAGTAGACTAGAACTGACTTGACTCAAATAGAGTAGACTAGACTAGACTCAGCTCAAATAGAGTAGACTAGACTAGACTAGACTTGACTCAAATGGACTAGATTGAACTGGACTAGGCTAGGCTAGGCTAGACGAGAACCTGGTCCTACATACCTCATCCCTGTCAATGAGGGGGTTGGTCTTGGTCTGGTACGGTGAGGATGAGAGCTCCCTCTTGAGGTCCGGGTCGTCATCCACCGAGAGGGCGTGGTTGGTGTACCCCGTCCCCGGGCTGAAGAAGGTCGAGGGGAGCTCTTCGGACCTGGAGTAGGCCGGGAGGGTCCCTTGATTGCTGTAGGAGGGGGAGTCCAGGTCCGCACTGCCGGGTAAAGTGGCTGTCATACCTCTATTAGTCAGGAATAACAAAAATTGAGGGTAAAAACACTTTCAAGTATAAAATGTAAAGAACATTAAGGTTTCTGTTGCATAATAATCACTGAAAGATCTCAAACCCATAAAAACAATGAAATTTTCTGGCAACAAAATACATATGGCACTGATGGGTGATGATACAAGAAGGTATAAACTTTGTTGATAACTTCTAAAACATATTGAAACCGTATTAAACATAAAGTCTTCAAGTATTATAATCATAATAATACTAATAGCTAGTTCTTATATAGCGCTTTTCAAGACCGAAGACCCTCTCAAAGCGCTTTACAGATATATATATTATCACAATGTTAATTGTTTTTTCATCAATATTTGAAACTGAATAGCAGAAGAATACTACCACACATCATTGCATCTCGAATCTCGTCCTGTATAGTGGTACCATGCACTCAAATAGTCAAATTTGCTATCGACATGTATATGTATGCTTGGGACTATCAACGGTCACAAATGACTTTCTTTAATAAACAGAAACAGGATAGATAAATTGCTTGTTCCTATAGAATACACGTATGTATTTTCTGTTCAATTTAACAAAGGGTAATTGAAAGCACTAGTTGTGGAAGTCAATCCATAGTACCGTCAATCCTGTCTATATCGACCGCCCATGGGAAAAACACAATAAGTGGTCTTTGTCGACAGGTTCCTTTAGTACATTTTTCAATGAGAAACCATATTTAATGGAAACAAAAAAAATGTGGTCTTTGAAGACAGATGGTCACTATATCTACATGTATATCTATAAAGCACTTAGAGACATTTATATTAAGCGCTATATAAAAGCGGAATATTGTTATTATTATTATAAAGCAGGTTTGACTGCACATGTAAATGTTTGTCATCATAATGACAAACAACAAAGGGGTTCATGCAACTAAAACTAGATGGGATTGAGTCTAGCTACATTGTACCTCATGAGATTATCCTCTGGCAAGGTACTGGTCCCAGCTAGGATGCTGTTAGCAACAGCCATAGCTTCCTCATCCTCGGGCCCAAACTCAAGAGTACGTTCCTATAAGGGAAATAGATCAATTTATGAACATCAACAATTTAGTCATATCAATCATTCTATACATATATTGATTAATCAGTCAAGGAACCAATGAATGAACGAATGAATAAATAGTTAATTAGTCAATAAATCAGTCAATGAATATCAAATAATTCAATTTTGTTCTTCAATGCATTCATTTACATAAATCAATCATTTAGTGATTTTGCCTTGGTGCTTCAGGATGAAGATTGCCAACGACTTCTCACAACCTAGAAAACTAAAGTTCGGAGTTCCCCAAGGTTCCGTTGTTGGACCGCAACTTTTCAGTTTGTACACAAATCCTATTGCAGATATCATCGAACGACGTCCACGGATTCAACACCACAGCTATGCTGATGATGTTCAACTCTACATATCTGCTGACCCAAAGGACAGTGATGATGTTAGATCTGCCCTTGTCTCACTCTCTTTGTGTGTCAACGACCTTCAGCAATGGATGCAGCGCAATATGCTTAAGTTGAACTGCGAAAAGACTGAATTTCTTGTTGCTGTGAGTCCTCACTTCCGTCAACTGGTGTCTGACATTACCCTCGTAATTGGTGATGCAGACATCGAGCCCTCAACAACTGTCAGGAGCCTTGGTGTGGTGTTAGATTCTTCACTGAGAATGAATCACCATGTGTCATCACTTTCTAGTACGCTCCACTTCCATCTATCTAATATTGCTCGGATCAGACCCTACCTAGACAAGTCCGCGTGTGAGCATGCTGTACGTGCTCTCGTCACATCTAGGACTGATTATTCCAATTCTCTTCTATGTAATATTTCTATGTCAAATATCAATCGCCTGCAACGAGCTCAGAACCGAGCAGCAAAGTTGGTGTTCCGCGCTAAGAAGCATGACCATGCCTCTCCCTTCCTTCGTCAGCTCCATTGGCTTCCAATAGAAAAGCGAATCACATACAAAATTCTCACAATGACCTACAAGTGCATCCATAAAATGGCTCCCTCCTATCTCCAAAACCTTCTCTCATTACATCAACCAGGAAGGCATGGTCTGAGATCTGGCAACGACCCAACCTTGCTCTCGGTTCCCAGGAGTCGTACACGCTTTGGGGATCGATCTTTTTCTGTTTCCGCACCACGTCTCTGGAACAATCTCCCTCGGGCTGTACGATCTTCTCCTTCTCTCGCTATCTTTCAACGTTCCTTGAAAACCTTTCTCTTTAATAGTTAAATTTATATATTTTTGTGTACGTAATTTTATTGTTTGCTATCAATGTCAATTAAGTAATGTAATGTTGTAAAGCGCTGTGATACACATGTATGTCTGTAAGAGCGCTATATAAATGCCAATATTATTATTATTATTATTCAATAAATCAATTATTTATTCATTAAAATAATTTATCGATTTCCATCTTTTAATCAATTACTTGTTAAATCATATTTGTCAATTACCATTACATTAGTCAATCAATTCATTATTATTCAAACAACCAGTCAATAAGTCAATCATTTAATCAACCAATCAATCAATAAAGCATTCAATTAATCTATCATTCATCCATTCAGCTATTTTCTCATTCATACCCTCTAAGAAAAAGACGATTACGAATAAGGAGTAAAAGAATTAACGGGAGAGAAAAGAAGAAGCAAGAATAAAAAGACAGGGCTCACTCTGAGGTAGAATGTTTAGTATGTTTCCAAGTTGATTTTTACCTGTGTTTCACCATCAAACTGCCCGTCAAGCTGGTCGCTCGCCAGAAAGCTAGGTGTACCACTAAAAACAAAGAGATTAAATGAAGGCAATTTAAAGATGGTTTCTTCACATATCAAATCTTTTTTCATCAATTAGCCCAAACATTTAGCCTGATTGATATGATAGAAATATTGATATGTATAAATTGCTTGTAAAATAGTTCCATTACATTTCTTAAATTCTCAATGACGGTATATTACTATCAAGCAGAAAATATAACACCAAATATTTCCAAGTGAGACCCCCTCTCTTGTGGATGAATCAGTATAACATATTTGAATAACTGTATACTAATATATATATATATATATATATATATATATATATTCAAATTTGAATAATTGCATAATGTTATTTGCTTGTCTACTAATCTACCAAAATGCTCTCTTTATCTGTCTTAAGTGTAGAAAATTATATCAAATTTGAGTGAATCCTTGTACTTGAAATTCTATATCTTTCTACTCTATTCATACACATTGTAAATATTAAAACAAAAAATGGAATTAAATGGTTAGGAGCAAAAGGGGACAACATGAGAAAACAGGAGGGCATGCAATGTATTAGCAATGCATGAACATGCTACTTAAGTTATACATGTATAACTTTGTATTCACACTTACAGTACATAGCTGATTTGTATGTATAATATAGCTTTTTTCTCTTTTTGTAGGTGACACTCAATTCATTTCCAAACTTTTCATATATTTTCTTATCATCCTATAATTTTCTTGCATCATTTTCCACTTATAATTGCACCATTACTTTTCAATATAAATATAGTTATGCTTGATATAACAATAATCAAATATGTGCATGGTGTATATTTTATCACAGCTAGTGAATTTTGCAAGCAGTGTTTTCTAGATGCAGAATATTCTGTCTTGCATAATTTGTAAAATATGGCACTTACTTTGGAAACATATCATCGCCCCTGCAACCATGAAGGACCAAAGAAAAGCAAATATCTTGTTTAATTAGCAAGGACATAACTTTATTTGCATAATATTTTAGAAGTAAAAATAATAACATGCCCCAAAAAGTTGATTCAAGACAGACTGCTGCTGCCTTAAGTCATCTTTTTATCATGTTTTCTTGAAAATAAATGATTTTAATTCATTTGCAATGATCCATTGGAGCGCATGAATTGGGGAAATGGAAACAAACAAAAAAAGAGAATGGGAATAGAAAGACATGATTAGGAACAATTATCAAACTTTTGAGGGATTACTGAAAGAAATTTTACTTCACAAGAAAGGAGGATACACTTGTAGAGATGCAAAAAGATATAATATTTCAACAAAAAGGTACATGTTAATGATAATCCAATATAAACAACAACATTCATGCCAAAAGCAGAAGAGGATTTTAGTTGGAAGATCTCCCTACAGAGGCAGAAATGAACATGCACTATTATCAGAAAAGCACTTTAAAAAACACCGCCCCTTACAGCTAGCAACTCATTCAACATGCATTTTTATTGTGGAGTTTCTTTTTTTCTTCTTTTTTTCTTCCCCCTATTTCATTGTTTAGATTAAAAAACAACAACTTGCATTGGGTGAACCAAATATAAGGATTACATAGACTACATGTATATTACTTTTCCGCTCAACAGAATTTTTTTTTAATTCAAATTTTTAAACTTTCACTTATATTTTCTTACGAGTAAGCATTTGGTCAAGCAACAGATACTAAAGAATACTAAACCTTTACGACTCTTCTTAATTACTATACGCTATTTGGGGTTTCTCTTATTTCAATTTTTAAACTTTTACTTATATTTTCTTAGGGGTAAGCTTTGGGTCAAGCAAAGGATACTAAGAATAAACAACCTTTCCCATTCTACTGCAATTTGAGATTTCTTGGGTTTTTTTTATTAAATTTTTTTAACTTTCATTTATATTTTCTTATGGGTAAGCATTGGGTCAAGCAAAAGATACTAAGAATAAACAACCTTTACCATTCTACTGAATTACCAAATGCAATTTGAGAATTCTTGGGGGGTTTTTTATTAATTTTTTTTAACTTTCATTTATATTTTCTTATGGGTAAGCATTGGGTCAAGCAAAAGATACTAACGAATAATAAACCTTTACCACTCTTCTGAATTACTATACGCTATTTGGGATTTCTTGGGGTTTCTTGAATTTCAATTGACAAACCTTTTCTTCGACCCCTTGGAACTTTTGGAATTCTTTAGCTTTTTGAAACGTCCTCCTTCTGGTTTCTCACTTTTGTTTCACAATAAATAAAGTTTAAAACAGTTTTTAAAGATTCTCAAGCTATCAATTAACAAGAAAATTTTGTTGTTGTTGCTGCTCTCATATAATAAAATGAATTGAAACCATTTATTTAATAAAATAGAAATAGCGCCATGAAACCCCTACTTTATTTTACAAAGAGTTTATCCCTTTATATAAATCAGATGGGTCAATAAACCTTACAGGTTTTTTTTTAATGATTTTATTAATCTATAAGTCCGATAAGAGTTGAACATACATAACAAGAACTATTTTACAATTACTTGTAGTTCAGATTGTGGGAACCCAAATGAGGTATTTTGATGAAATTATTATTTTACAATGATTTCCACTTTCAAGAAATATTCTTATGGAATGAAAATTGTGCGCACTTGACACTATGATTTAAACCCAACATATCACAAGTTGTTGTTGCTAAATGTTAATTGCATGAGCTTTAATACCTTGAAATCATTGAAATATTAAATAATGAATCAAATTTTACAATAGGAGTGATCAATTGAATGATGAAATGAGAATAGGTATTAAATATTATAGAATATTATATATCTCATGAAACAAACAAAATAAAGCTTGTGTTAAACGCAATTTCAAAGACATTATGTTAGTCAAAGGTTAAAGGTGAATAGGATTTTAGTTCCACACACTATGAATGAAAAGGTACATAAAATGAGAAGAGATGGAACATGTTATCAAATTATCAACAATTCAAACAATTTATAAATAAATGCCTACTCACGCTTGATTGGACTGATCTTCATAATATACAGGATTTGATCTGTAAAAATTATACAAAATTCATCTTTGTTTATCAACTTAATTGAAGGAAATTATGAAGAAATTCCAGGCAAGCCTTTAAGACTGCAGTTGGTAGCAGGAAACATTTTTTCTTCATGGATGGTCGATTGAAAGATTGAATGAATGAATGAATGAATGAATGAATAAAGCAATGAATGATGCTAAGTACTTGTATAAAAAATGGATTTGATGTAATGATGAGTATTTGATAAACTAAGTCATTATTGTACGGACAATACAGCAATATAGAGTTCTCTGATTTAAAAAAATAACCAAATTAAAAAAGCTATACTCTTTAATGGTTCCTCCATTATATTGACATTCATGAATAGATTAAAGCAGAAATAACTAAATGTTGTTGAGTGTAGAAATGTTTTGTGGAGAATAAGGATATGCAATAAGTCATTTGAAATTGACACACATGCAATTTATGTGAAGGGAAAGGTGCTTATCAGTTCAGATATGCCGACACATCAGGATATTATTGGTGAGAAAATTCAAAAGTATAAAAAAAAACTTGATAATAATGACGCTAAAGGTATGTGAATGCATCAAAAATATATAATTGTTTAAATTCTCTTTGTTCTAAATACCTGTTTGTTTTGTGTTTTTTACAAAAAGGTATCAAGCTTCTAATTGCACATTACAGATCAGGAAAAGTATGGAGGAAAATACAAGAATGACTCAACTAGCATGTTAACATAATTATAGCTGTTTCATTGGCTGAAAATTGTGCATTTGATTCAAACATTTGATTACATGTTTTGTTGTATGGTATAGCATTTTGCATGATAAACATGAAACTGCTATTAAAGCAAGAGAATGATGTACATTTTACCCATACAATCTGTTCACAAATTTAGAAGACTGAAATAAGATTGTATATTCTCTATATAACTGTGACAAATGAACAACAAACATACATGCAGAATAATACAGAGGTATACACTTGCAAGCAAAAGGGAAAAAAAAAGATATAACATAATAAAATTGAGAAATGAAGGGGATGGGAACAAAATACATGAAGAAAAAAAAATCATTATTTAGAATACCAAATAACAGTCAGTTGATGATTTTCAGCATTCAAAAGGCATCATATTTCTGTTAACAAAAAAGATATCAAGGGGCAATTTATAACCACTGACCAGTGGCAACTTTCTGCTGTAAGAAAATGATACATATTTTTTGCAAGCGTTACAAAGTATGAAAAGTGCTAATTTCGTAAATAAATATTACTAATAAACAAACAATATACATATGACAATGCATGCAATGATGATGTTCAACTGTATGAAATGGACAGCTACAACATAAAAGTGTAACCAATGACTTAATTAATAGAGAGACTTGGTGCAATCATTAATCAATGACAGATGTTTATAGTTCTGCCCACAAAATGCACCTGAATGATGACAGTTCAACTAGACTAAGAGTTAAATTTATATAGTTCTGGCATATACTGTGTTTTCTTTGCCACAAGCGAAATGAGTTTCAATGGGTCTGGAATAAGTAGACTAATCCCTACTTTCAACAAAAAGAAGTGTACAATGTAGAGAAATGGAATTGGAAAGTAGGTTTAGTCTATCTTATCTAGACTCTGTATAGCACAGTTTATTCAAAAACATGGAAAATTTCTCTCTGCCAAGCAGACTGGCTAACAATACATGCATACATGTACATGTACATTTACAATGGTAACTAAACAACATCCACATCTAATATAGATACTAACCCATTCAGAATTAAAGCTTCAAGCTAAAATATTTTTTTTTATTTCATTTGCAAATTGGCAACAGTGGTACCTTTCTTTTGATGATGTAGGTTTCTAATAAAAATTCATGTACCTGAAAAGACCATTTATGAATGAGAATTACTTGTGGATATATATTTACAAAATTTCAGAATTGGCCATTTATATGGGAAAACAGTCATTTTGAACTTTGTAACATGTTGCCAAATTTATGAACCCCAATGATATTTTCTTTACATTTGATGCATGATTCCTCGCTTCAAACAAACAAATATTGACACAATGTGAGCAGACATTTTTATCTCTCTATGCTCATACATCTGGTATATTTCTTAAAATTCTAAATAAAAAAGTTTTCAAGCCACTTATTCTGAATGGTTATACGCAGTTGTAATTGAGGGAAACTTCATGAACAGATGTGCACAAATGTGAAATACATGAGATGAAACACAGACAGGGTGACAGAAAAAAAAGATTGAGTTGCGGCAGAAAACTTACGTTGAGGGTAAAAAGGCTTTATCAGGACACTGAGCCCTGAATGTACAGTGAGCAGAAGAAGTGAAGATATGCAGATAGCAATGAGATACTCAACCAGATACAGTCCCTCCAATATACATTAACTATACCCAAACTACCCTTTTACCCCAATGGAGTGGTCCAATTTGCCATATGGAGATTTATTGAATAGGATGATACCACTCTATATGAAGGTGACCAAAATTATGATCATGCTTATCTACGTTTAAAAAATACAACTGAAATATGAATTGAAAGGCCTTGATATGAAGACCAACCAAAAAAAAAAGGTCCACTGTAACCATTTGTAAGGGACAAGAACTTCATATTGTTGTATGGCTATACAAGAAAATAAGCCATAAAAGTATGTCTTTAAGAAATCTTTCATATCATCGGGATATTTTACATCTCATCACATCCCAATTCAACCAATCCCATTGATAAAGGTGGAAAATCCTTTATGGAAGAAACCGTTTCCTAAAGCAGGATTGGACCTATTTTTAAAACACAGTTTCATGTTAAGACTACTTTTTTAAATTTGTTAACGTGCTGGTACACTTATCATAATCTTGTAGGATTTCAATTGAGTAGTATACAGAAAGATTCCTGTCTGCTAAAAGAAACAACACTGAATACCATACTATGAGACTGCCCATAGAAAATCAAAGACATTTCACTTAATGATCATAAAATGTCATTTGCAAGAATTACATGGAAGCAGAAGAGTTAATAGTTATACTGATGAAATGAGAAGAGTCGCAGCAAGGTGTCATTAAATAAAGCTCAGTTTAATGATCTGGATAAAGATATTGAGCAGCGTATAGACAAAAGAGTGCAGAGAAATCTGAAGGGATACATCAATAGTGTATTTTTTGCCCTGTTAGGAATACACACTACATAAGGAAAATAAAATTCGACAAAAAACAAATGTTGTTTTTAATACATGTACATGATATGGATCATAACATTGTTTTCAAATTTAACAATGTACATTTTCTTTGTATGCATTCACTTATACACAAGTTTGATTCAAATGCTTTAACATGCCTTTTGCACGCATTTAATTCAACAGGTTTTATGATGTAAAGTTCCAAGATTTCCTAGCCACTCATGTAAACTCCTTTTGATTTATTTGTAATAATAAAATACAAAACTGTATCACAAGATGTACATTGTTGCAAAATCGATATGGAATATATAAAATGGTTTTATTAACTGAGTCACTCGTATTTAAGGGGATTAAACTTGGTCGAATATTGCCTAAATATGGAAGAGTGCTCTCTGTCCAATGACAAAACATGTAATCAGGCCAAAAGAACTTGAAAATAAAAACTGATCATGTATCTGAGATAGCAATATTTTATCTCATGTTTTTATTTCTATAAAAACTAAACATATAACTAAAATCCTTAAATTCCGTTTAAAACTCAGTAATGACGAAACTCAGCTGCACAATCATTCAATCTGCCATCATTATCATATTTTTTTAAAACGTTAAAAAAGTCATGAAAAGAGATGAATCAACTTACATTTCCAAGTCTTCACCATTTCCATAAGGGTTGAATGTGTTATACATTGATGGGAGATACATTCGCCCTGCTTTATCTTTCTCCATTTCTCGTCTGGAAATGAAAAGATAAGAAAAGAGGTTGTGTTTAATAAGAAGAAAAAAAGATTAGACTTACCATTTAAACATCTTTTGATTGAAGTATCATGATTCCAGCTCCATCTTCCTCTAAAGTTCTCATAATCATCAATATAATCATAATCATTCATCATCATCATCATCATCAACAGCATCATATCAACATCATAATCATCATAATCATCAACAACATCATATCAATATCATTGACCGGGGTAATAGTATATTTGTAAAGCGCTTAGAGACGTTTGTATTAAGCGCTATATAACAATTAAATATTATTATTATTTATTATCATCATCCATTATCATCATCATCATCATCATCATTGTCCTCGTCAGTAATATTATCACCACAATCAGCAGGATCATCCCCCCTCCCCTCCCCTCCCCCTCCCCTCCCCTCCCCTCCCTCTCTCTCTCTCTCTCTCTCTCTTTCTTCTTCTTCTTCTTTCTTCTTCTTCTTCTTCTTCTTCTTCTTCTTCTTCTTCTCTTCTTCTTCTTCTTCTTCTTCTTCTTCTTCTTCTTCTTCTTCTTCTTCTTCTTCTTCTTCTTCTTCTTCTTCTTCTTCTTCTTCTTCTTCTTCTTCTTCTTCTTCTTCTTCTTCTTCTTCTTCTTCTTCTTCTTCTTCTTCTTCTTCTTCCTCCTCCTCCTCCTCCTCCTCCTCCTCCTCCTCCTCCTCCTCCTCCTCCTCCTCCACTTACTTCTTCCATGATATGATGACCACGCCAATGGCTATGACCACACAGATGAAGAGCACACAAGCCAGGCATATGAGAGCGATGGCTTCCACAGTAGGTCCATTACCGTCTGGGGATACTCCTGGGCCCGTCGTGGGTTGGGTCGGTCTCCTGATGTCTGTAATTGTCTTATTCTCCACAATGGTTGAATAGCGCTCATTGAGTGAGGTGTTTTGAGAAAGAAGGATCCTAGAGGGGAGAAAATGTTTATTTGTAGCATTGAATGATGGTGAATTAAACAGGTAGATAGGCAAGCAGAAAAGAAGTCCAAGTTAACAAATAAAATATAGATATTTCTATATTAGGAGATATGTAACACAGGTGTGTCAAATCATGAAAAGCTGATCTCTTATCCTATCTAAAATGAAATACATGACTGGGTATTAGGATATTCTTTATTTTACCATAACATGAATATTTACTACACAGGAAAGAAACATCTTTTGGCAATTTTTTGTTCAATATTTGATCTATTGTAGAAGATTTCACTGATAGTTCACTAAACAAATGGGCAGATTTATTATTAGAATTATCAGGAAACGTAGACAGCAGTTGTCAAGTTGAATTAATAACTCACATGTTTAACAAGGCTGAAGGAAGTCCTTACTACACACCTCAGACAACAGCAATTGTTAAATTTAAATCTAATTGCCACTGTGCAAAAACACAAGTTCACATCCACTGTAATTACATTCTATACCAAAGTGAAGTCGTCTTAAAAACTTAGCAAATACAGATAATAAAGTCTGTTTGGGCACCAGAAAGCAAGAACATTTGCACACAGAGAAGTTCTGTAAAGTAAAAGAACCGAAGCAACCTGCAAGCAAGTACAGTTGAACTTATCTATAGCAACTGCCCAAGGGAAACAAAAAGTGGTCCTTGTAGACACGTTCCTTTAGTACATGTTTCAATGAGAAACCATTTTCAAGGGAAACAAAAATTTGGTCTTTGTCAGTAGACTGGTGGTCACTAAAGCAGGTTTGACTGTATATTGTTTGGATTTCATCAATGGGGTACTTACTCCACCATGTCGTTTCCTAGTATTGGGTCCCCGTTGGCGTCGAGGGCATAGAAGAGGACGTCCGATCCCGTCGGGTCCAGACCATTACCGACCTCTCTCTGGCTCACATCCTCGATGTACACGTCGGCAGTGAGAGCCTCTGATAGGATTTCAGAGAGGGCGTCCTGGTTCTCTCTCATGAGGTCAGGGTCGATGTTACCAGCCAGGATGGCACGATGGGAGTTGTCGATCAGAGATATCTGCATGAAGATCAAGGAGTACAGGACAATTAGAATTTTACCTAGCTGGTGGGAAGAATTCTTTGAAAGCCTTCAGCCTTTCTTTTAATGACGCAACTTAAAGCCCCACTGTACTACTTGTAGCTATCTGCTCCCTCTATATAGAAAACAATGCACATGTGGTGCCTGTTGGTTCCACATGATCCTATTTTTCTTATGTTAATTGAGAGCTGAGTTGATGAGATTACCATACACCTGTCAGTGACCAGCAGGGTGGTCTTATCCCTCCTGGCCAAACTAGTGCAGACAGGTTTTAAGCCAAAGAGTATGTTTTATGCTTCTGTAGTGTCTTGAGTATACATTGACATGGAGATACATGTACATATATGAAAATTGACTGTTGAATCTATTGATTTCAAATGGCTTAATAATAGAGGAAGAACTCATATCTTATAGCTAAAGGGTTCACTGTTTAGACCTCACAAAATATTGTAGCATTTCACAAATACAATATTCCGTCATTCGATTCTTTGCTCGCATACAAGGCATGTTCTTTCTCTAGACCTACTTCTTGCAATAGCTGGGTTCTTTCTTGATATGAAACATGCACATATTTGACTGACACTTGAATTTTCATATTTAAAAACAGATAGGTGTATGTTTTTAAACTACCGGTACAGGTTTAGGTTCGACTGAATCATAAATACAACAATATTAATTTTCAATTCTCTTTGAGCTTTACATTTTAACTTGGATAACATAAACATAATACAGAAATATGCAACACTACTGCAGAAAAGATAGGCCTCAAGGGTTTTCTTGAAAGTATAAAGAAATTGTATATTCCTAATTGTCAAGGGTAGAGAATTCCACAGAGCAGTTGCTGATGCCGTGAATGATGAATATTCAGAAAATGAAGGATGAATATCTAGAATACCTAATTGAGCATGGTCTCCGCCATGGAGAAGTTATTGCTTGGATCATAAACATAATACAGAAAAATAGAACACTACTGCAAGAAAGGATAGGTCTTAAGGGCTTTCTTTTGAGTATCAAGAGAATATATAGAGAATATATATTCCTAGTAGAATTCCGCAGTGCAGTTGCTGATGCCACGAAGGATGACTATCTAGAAAATGAGCGATGAATTATGTAGAATACCTTGACCATGGTCTCCGCTATGGTGAAGTTATTGTTTGGATCTTCTGCCAGGACGGTATATTCAAACTGACTGCCGGCTTCCTCTCCCTCAAGACTCTGAGTCGTACTGAATATCCCTGTAGCTCGGTCTATCCTGAACAAAGGTTCTCCTTGTACCACGGCGACAATGGAGTAGGTGGATACACCGTTTTCTCCTTCATCATCGTCAAAGGCCTGGCGGAAGAGATTACAACATAATCATAGGTCAATCTATGACACTCTGTTATATAAATATTTTGTGATATCTTTAACTAATGTATACTCAGTGATATAAATTATAATATTTGGGGGAACTTTTTTAAACAAGGCCACCATGGGCTTTTCCTTTGTTCTCCTATTTCATTTGAAGTTATTGTATTAACTGAACATTCTTTGTATGTATATATACTTGTATGTTTATTTGCATTTGCTGTGTTTTTTATGAAAATAAACAAACTGAACTGAGGTATACAGTTTAGTTGGACACCTACATATACATTTATGTTGGCAAACATGATCACTTATTTAGCGTTATCTAAAAATGTGTTTTTTGAAATAAAATCTCTTATTTCAGGAACCATTAAATGTCTAATTTTGAAGATTTGATAAATAGCCTAGATATATGTCAAAATGTTATCATAAAGTGATAACGCATAGCTAAGATGCAAGTCTCTCTGCCTCTACCGGGTACAAAACTAGGAGTGATGAAATTTAAACTGGCTTAGACATTCACTACACATACACTGGAACATGCCAAATTCTTCTGATGTGCTTGTATTTTGCATTGGTTTCAAATAACAAATAACCATGTCCATAACTGAGCAACTATTTCAGCAAATAATCTCATCCAGTACCATAGAATATTTAAAAATGACTATGTTGATATATTTACCTCAACTGCAATGACCTGTGTCCCGACCCTGGCTACGGTAGAGACCCCAGCGTAATAGTTCTCCTTGAGAAAGTATGGTCCGTTGTCGTTGATGTCTGCAACGTTCACGTAGATGTAGACAACGTTTGGGTCGGTAGGCTCAGCTACTTCTGAGAAGAGATCTAGGAGGTGAAAAATTGAAGATGTCAAGATGAAGAAAAAACTTGGTATTAAAGGTAATACAAAGTTTCGGGAAATTTTGAAATTGGGTGGATAATGATTCTTTACAAATTTAATATAATTGGATACCCCTGTGGTTTTTTTTATAATCACTAGAACATTCAGCCCCTAAAACACTTCTGCTTTCGAGAAAAATTCAATATAAATTGAATATAAAAATTTACCGGTGCTCCCGGTAAATTTTTATCAATTTCAAATACGGCTGTACAATGGTAGCTGCGACCATGAGAATCTCAGAATATGTAGTTGTGATATATAATTCCCAAACGGAAATAGGTAATCGGTCGATTTTAGTCAAGAAACATTGTTTTATAGCTTCATTAATATATTGACCTTGAGAGGGAGCTATACAACATAAAGAGTTTATCATTTACAATTTCATAACTTCAGACACGATTTCAACCGCACAACGATCACTGAATATTATAGGATCGCATATGTTCATTTGAACCAAATTCATGACCCCATACCAAAACTTTGTATTACCTTTAAGTTCTGTTTGATCAAAATCAATATTGTCTTTCACTCTTACATTACTCTCCCTCTTTAACAATTTTTTTTTCTCTCAATTTATCTGTAAGAGTAACAAATACAAGAGTAGCAATAATAATTTGTGAAAATAGTAATATTACATTTAACTTTACATTGCCAATTTAATGATTTTGTTGCTAAAGTTACTCTAAAAAATTAACAGCATTACACTGTTTGAAAAGCACCAAAATTAATCAAACTTTTGTCATTTACTTTTTCTCCTCCTGTACTCATAGAATCTAGTCTGAAAGGTAAAACAAAAAAATGAAGACATACATGTATAAGGAGCTTTGTACAAAACAGGGTACATTGTTCTTCTAGCTTCAATTGATTTACCTGCTTGGCGCCTCTTTCTCCGACCAGTCTGCTCCGGTAGATTGTTTTCATCCGGGGTAGCTCCTTGTATGTTGGCCTGGACCGAGATAGAGTAGTTTTCCACTAATTCACGGTCGAGAGTCATATTCGTGTAGATCGTTGCTACGTTGTCGGTAGTATTCATTGTAAAGGCACCTGTAGAAAGAATTTCCAGATGTCATGAATATTTGCACATGTACATGTACAGTACATGCACGTAAAAGTAATAAAATATTACTTTAATTTTCTTTTTCATCTTCTTTTTCATTGTTGTATGTGTGTTTGCATGTTGTTTCATCTTTTGCACTAGCGTGTCTTGAGCATTTAATTTCAAGTGCATTTGGTATTTTACAAAATTTAGTACTATATCATTATTGTTATTTATATATTATTTTAAACAGTACATGTAGTAGCCAAAGTAGTATTGTAAAGTACATTTATAATAGTTGTAGAAGTAGTGAAAATAAAAGTAGAAGTCATTATAGAACTGTCTGTATAGTAACACATCAGGAGCTCTTGCAGTACAGTAGAATGTATTCCTAAATTCATATCATTTTCAATATTATTGTTGTTGTTGTTGTTGATGTTATTATTATTACCGTCCTCCTCCTCCTCCTCATCATTATCATTTCAATTACTATAATTATATATTGTACTGTCTACAGCAGAATTAACAGCATCAGCATCAGCATCTGAAGTGGTATTAGATAGGTCTAAATTAAAGCATGAGATTAGATTAAGAGTTCTTGACAACTTACTTGGGTCGGTTGAATTGACTATGGTGTATAAAATAACATCTCCGATATTGGCCTGGGCTTCGATGACAGCCACTACAACGCCTGGTTCCTCTTCCTCCATTACATCATCCACACTATACATGGAATGAAAATATGACAAAACTCCTGGTTTTATATGCTGCATTTTAAAATGTTTGTTCCACTCATCACTCTCTCTCTCTCTCTCTCTCTCTCTTCATTTTATCATTCCTTTTTTGTTATCCTTTTCAAAATTCTACAAATTTAATAACATTTCTCCTTATTTCCCTCTTTCACTCTCTCATCAACCTCCCCCTCCCTCTCTCTTGCAATCTCCCCCTCTCTCTCTTTCCATCTTCCTTTCTCACTCTCTCTCTCTCTCTCTTTCCTTTCATCTTCTCTCTCCTCTTCTTTTTTTCTTTCTCTCTCCTAATCTTTCTCTCTCTCTCTCTTCCCTTTCTTGTCTCTCTCTCTCTCTCTCCCTTTCTTTTTATCTCTTTCTTTCTTTTACTTTCTCTTTCTCTCTCCCCCTTGCTTCTCTCTCTCTCTCTCTCTCTTTCCCTTTCTTTCTCTTTTGTGTCTTTACATTACATGTACATCTACCCAGGAAAAATATCAAGATTTTCTCGCTCCAACTTACATGATGACGTTCTCAGGAAAGATAGGTTTCTCCACTCTGAGTAAGATTGAGAGAGGAACCGTTGCTATGTTAGCTGGATCTCCACCATCACTGACTACTATCGTCAGCTGAAAGGCAAATTATTCAAAAAATTGATAAAAATTGAAGAGTATGCGTCAATACAACACTGCTTATGCTCTCTCTTTTTATTAAACTTAGTTGACATGCAGGAGTCACTTGCTATTGATCTATTCATTAAGTGTGTGCAAATTAATACATGGCATATATAATCAAGCTTAAAGAGAAGTACCGGTATATAGTCATGGTGTGTTGGCTTACAAGTACATGTATATGTTTACTCTACACATGAACTGACTTAATCTTACATGTCATCATTAAAAAAATATTGCTATCGAGATCCGACATTCAAAATTTATTGTCCACATTTTTAGCAAGGTTTCTGATAATCTTTGATAAGCTAGTCACTCTGATCAGAATTAAAGAAAATAAATACATTCCCTTGTTTATCTATTAGAGATATAATTCTTTCATCATATTTCAAATTAAACAAAATTTGAAGTACCAAAATGTCCACTTATAGAAGCAACTGGTTTAGAATGTATACATGTAATCTGCATTCAAAAATATGTTTGACAATATACCTGTTCTTACATAATATTCGCAAAATCTTTGGAAATAAATTTCAGGGAGATTTGTTTGCATTTCAAGGAAATAGACATCCTTTTCTACTTACATTATGCCACATGGTGGTATTACTGATGTCACCTATGACATAAACATTGCCTTGAGTTGGGTCTGTGAACTCAAACAGATCTGACGGCGTTAAAAATCTGAAGGTCAACTCAGAATTCGGCGAGCCCTGCAGAATGATGAAAATATTGCAGGTTAATATGACGATCATGATTTCTTATCACTGCATATTAAAATGGAAAATCAGTCTTTCCTGTAGGTAATATCACATTGTTTGGCAGTCTATCATGATAATTTGGGATACCTATTTTCCTAGTTTATGTGAACTCAATGATCGTGGTACAGAAGTTTGATTTGATATCATAATCATTAATTGTAATTTATGTATTTTTCATGTGCTGTTTTTATAATTAGGGCTCTGTGGAAGACCAGGTTTTTTAATTTTTGTATACTGAACAGACTACCCTGAATAAAGAAGTGAAATAAATAAAATAAATAAATAAATAAACTAGAACTTCAAATCTTCTTATACTTCAAGCTAATCATCATAAAGCAGAAATCCTTCACTTCTATTAGCAGTTGTCATGCTTCAGCATTCCAGGGGAGTGTTTCACAAAGACTAAGATTTTAAGTTGGACTTAACTATGGCAGGCTGTTCATGCCACTGTTTGCTCTCACCATTTACTGGCATTGATCTCTTGAGGGCAATACAAATCATGGTCACAAATCTACATTTTTTGATAATTCATTATTGAAGGGAAAAACATTATCTAAAGATCTTAATAGTGAGAGCAAACGGTGGCATGCCATAGTTAAGCCCAACATAAAGTCAATCTTAGTCTTTGTGAAACACTCCCCATATCCAATAGCTACAGTAAGATGTACATTCTGAAGAAAGCAAAACTACGATGATGATTTTCTGGTGGGAAAAACATATTTTAAGAAGGAAATTGTGTGGGGTATCTGTTCACACATATTTCAAAATTTCAAATATTTAAAGTATGTCTTAAAGAAGGCTCACCGCAGGGTCTCCGTCTGTGACAGTGATATTGGCAAGGACTATATCTCCTATCTGGTACTCTCGTAGAGCGATGACATCATACTGGGTTTTTTCAAAGCTTGGAATGTTGTCGTTCTCATCCTGTAAACAAAGGTCAAAGGTCACAAGTCTTTTGAGTTGAAATCTTGAATCAGTAAGGGGGAGGATTATAAAAATTGACTACGCAGTGACAACATTTGTAAACTTTTAATGCTATTAGGCTAAATATTCTAGAAAGTAAATTGTAAGCTTGATCTTGACTTGAAAATACTGACATATGCTTTCTTATACAGTAAGCTTATGGTTGCACCATGTGTGAGAGAGGGGGGAGGTTTTAAAACTTGACATCACTTGTAAACTTTTAATGCTATTAGGCTAAATATTCTAGAAAGTACATTGTAAGCATCATCCTGCCATTAAATACTGCTCCATGGAAAGGAAAGTCTACATACCGTATTCTATCTCATCCAATTCTTCCATCTTTTTGTAATAATTGTAACAGGTAACTATGCAAACCCTAGCCAAAGATTTTGAATTCTACATGTATTCCCCCCCCCCCCCAATTTTTGTGATATAAACTGGTAACAGCTCAAATCCTAAAGACATGTGATTTCCTTCAAGAAGACATTTGCAATTTGTGACTAAAAGAAAATTACGTTACATTACATTACATAATATATACAAAATAAATATATATATAATCAAAAAATTTCTACTCACCGTAACTACAATTGTAATATTGGCCACATCGGTCAAATTTACACCACTGAGGTCTACGTCTGTGACGGTCACCTCAAAATAGAACGACCTTGCGCCAATATTCTCATAGTCCAGCGGGATGAGAAGAGAGAGATTACCGGTCAGAGGATCTATACTGAAGATGTTGGTTTCCCCAGCAGTGATGGCATACCGGAGAGGTGCATTAGCATCCCGGTCCAGCGCCTGATTCAGTTATGGGATGCAAAGCATTGTACGAATGAATAAGCCGTTGCTTATGTGTTTTTTTTTTCTTTATTATTGTAATGAACATTATGCCCAATCTTTGTTTAAAATGATGAATACTATGTTTACTGCTACATGTAAGTGCCATATGTATATATGTTATTGTTTCAAAACATTTTTGTATTTGTTGTATCAGTGCTCTGATCAGTATACTGTAGAAACACTGACCAGCACTAAAAAATAATCATCATTATTCCTACTGTTATTATGATCATTACACTTTATATATACTTTTGTAATGTAGAGGTGTGGTTGTCTAGTTGATAAGTGATTGACTATGGACCTCGTGGTCTAGGGTTGACAATTTTCCGCCAAGGTACAAATGACCTTTGGCAAGACATTAGTCTACGTTTGCCAATCTCCACCCAGGTGAAATAAATGGGGCATCAGAAAGGGTAAATTACCATGAATGCTTACATGCCTTACACGAAAGCATGGCAAAACTTGGGGTAGAAGTGCTATGTATCCTCAGAAAAAAAACACTTTATATACTCAATTATTTCTTTAGGAATACAATTCCAGACATACGCGGTCCATATTAATATACCCAAATCCTCCTAAAATGATCTTTGGCCTGGCCTACATACAAACACATTTCACTGGGTATATCATATGAGGAAACTAAAGGGCATATACCTGGACTGCAAAAACCCTTGCAGAGGAGTGTTTTCCGGCACCTCAATGACGTACTCAGCCGGCTCGAAGACTGGCCGGTTATCGTTCGTATCCTGCACGACGATGATGATATCCAACGTGGCCGAGAGAGGATTAGTGGTCGTATCCCTTGCCATGACAGTCAGGGTGTAAATGTCCTGCTGCTCCCTGTCTAGACCGGCCGTCGTGAAGATGCGGCCTGTCGTGGGCTCGATGCGGAACTCAGGCACCTCGGGCAGGAAGGAGTATATGATGGCAGAGTTTGCTGAGTTGAGCTGGTCTTGGTCGGTAGCCTGGGAGTGACAGATTAAAGAAATAGCATAAGCTTCATTCTACAGTTTTCAAGCCTTATGCATGACAAAGTCTAAGCGTGCCGCTTAAGATTTTCCTTGTTGTGCAACAATCTCTCGATCTCTTTAAAAAAAGGCATCTCAAAACTAAGTAGTTTTGTACATTGTTCTTTGAAATATATAACCTGGACTTATTTTGTGTTCTTCTTTGTTCTTGACACAAAAAGGTGCATTTGAATATGCGTATGGAAAATTCATATGTTTATAACAAGAATTTTATTATTACGTATCATTGTAATTATCATGGTTTCCTAATTAGGCAAGTAATAGAAAAAATACTGCTTTTTAGTTTCCTTACATGTATATCATATTAAACAGTGCTACTAAATTCATACAATAAACATATAATCATATAATGCCAAATTTATACAACCCCCCCCCCCCCCACCCCCAAATGGTCATTACATGAACTTCTTATTCATCATGGCAGTCAGAAATTCTACCAATTGTCAGAGCTGATTGACAAACGTGGCATATTCAGGCACCGAGTTTGAACTTGAATACTCACCTGTACTTGCCCTACTAACTCATTGCTGATGCTTTCTAGGATCAAGAATGTAGCCGCGCCGGTGAATACCGGAGGCTCATCATTGACATCGTTGATGGTGATTAGGACTACAGCAGAAGCAGTCTGAAATAAAAAGAAAAAAGGATGGTTATTTTTTTTTTACTTGGCTATTGGTCTCATCATGATTATAATAAGCAGAATGTTTAGATTCAGTGTTGAACCCAACTGTCTTTGCATGTCCTTGCAAAAAGAACAACGAACTTGTTCTGTTATAATCAGCAAAGGAAAATACATTAAAAAGAAATAACTTGAGTTATGCATAATATACAGTTTGTTTATGTGTACTTCAAATCACTTCCTCATTCAAATTAGGCTGAAATAAAACAAAGATATCAATCTTTCAATACACATTTGTCTTTGAGTTTGGAACTTCTTGATGACAACACCGCATCATTTTTGCTTAAAGATATATCAAACTCTAATATAATCTAACTCTTGGTGAAATCTGGAAAAAATAGAGAAAAATTAATTGAACTCCTTGGACATGATACGAGCTTTAACAAGCAAATGGACTTAAATTCATCTAGGATGGTCCTGGGATTAGAACTAGTTTCTGGTCCTACAAATAGACAAAATTACTTACCAGGTTTCCATCTGAAGCTTCCACAACCAGTGAATAGGAAGCAAGGACTTCTCGGTCTAGTGAGCCCTGGACTCGAATCTCTCCATTGCTATAAAGAAAAGAAGTCCATCATTATCTTCATCATCACCATCATCATCATCATCCTCATCATCATAATCATCATCATCATTGTCATCATCGTTACCGTCATCATCATCATCATCAATATCGTCTTCATCATCAGCATCATCATCATCATCATCTTCATTATCATCATAAACCTTGCGAAAGCAAAAGAAGGAGCCCAGTGCTGTCTAATGAAGATGTGAACTTCTAATGATACAAAAACACCATCATCATAATCATCATCACCACCAACAATGTCTTCATCATCAGCAGCAGCATCATCATCATCATCATCATCATCATCATCATTGTTATCATTACCATCACCAACATCAAACTTTTCAATTATCTACTTGATCAACAAGACTTCTATAATGGCAAAAAGTTAGCTCAGTGCTGTCATATGAAACTACTACTGAGATATGACATATCATCATAATCATCAGCAGCAGCATCATCACCATCACCATCATCATCATCGTCATTGTCATCATAATCATCATCATCATCATCATCATCATCATCATCATCGTCATCTTCATCATCATCATTATCATTACCATCACTATCACCAAACTTCACAATTATCTACTTGATCAACAAGACTTCTAAAATGGCTAAAAGTTAGCTTAGTGCTGTCATATGAAACTACTACTGAGATAAAATACATTATCATCATCTGGGTCATCATAATCACACACACTTTTAAGTATGAATGCTTCATATACTTACTTTGCACCGTCGACAGTCATGAAAGCATCGTTGATATTCCCAGACGTGATGCTGTATCTTATGAACTCTCCATCAGGATCTGTAGCCTAAAAAATCACAAAAACATTATTTGAAATGATTATAACTATAGATGACTACAAGAGAAAAAAGAAGTAGAATGAGGAGAAGAAAAAGAAGGAAGAAGAGGGGGATAGAATGAATTAGAAGAAGGAGAAGAAAGAAAAGGAGGAAAAAAGAAGAAGCATGGGGAGAAGTAGGAGGAGAAGGAAGGAGGAGAGAAAGAAGATGAAGAAGAAGAAGAAGAAAATTGTGGAGAAGAAGGAAAGGAGAAGCGGAAGAAGAAAAAGAAGGAGAAGAATGAGGAGAAGGAGGAGAAGAAGAAGAAGAAGAAGAAAAAGAAAAGAAAAAGAAAGAGATGGAGAAAGAGAAGAATGAAGAGGAGGAGAAGAAGTGAAGAAGGAGAAGTAGAAGAAGAAGAAAAAGAAAAGAAAAAGAAAGAGATTGAGAAAGAGAAGAATGAAGAGAAGGAGGAGAAGAAGTGAAGAAGGAGAAGTAGAAGAAGAAGAAAAAAAAGAAGAAAAAGAAAGAGATGGAGAAGGAGAAGAATTAGAAGACGAAGCCATTGAGAGGGATAAACAGGTAAAACACGTTTTCCAAGGATGTAAGTATAAAGTAAATATAGAGCCCAGGACTTCTATGACACTCAAGAGCTTCTATGAATATACCACACAAAATACAAGATGAGGAAATCTATCATAAATTTAGATGGGAGGAGGGGGGGGGGGGGGGGGGGACAACAGTCCATGAAAACACTGTGTGACCGTTTTTTGATTTTTGAATTACTTTTTTTCCACATGTGCCATAAAGACTTTGATGGAAGAGTGACATCACTCGAAGTTCATTCTGCAGATCTTACAGCTATTACAAGTTTCAATTAACAATACTCACTCTGACTGTATCAACGAGGGCGTTTAAGGGCAGGTTTTCATCGGCACTGGTTGAGTAGGATGTTTGATCAAACATGGGTGGCCTGTTATTTACACCAGAGATGATGATGATGCGAACATACACATTAGATCTGTCGAAAAAAAGGTTGATGAAGTAGAAAAATATTATTGATAACATTACCACTATCATCAGCATCAACAACTTGATGACCATCACCACTACCACCATATCCATCATCATCATTATCATCAACAGCATCATTGTCAGCAGAATCAACAACACCACTATCAGTAACATCATCACCATCATCATAAACATCTTCACCAACCTCATAATCACCATCACCATCTTTACCACCAGAAGCACCAATATCATCATCGTCGTCGTCATCATCACCACCACCACCATCATTAACCACCAACATCACCATCACTACCATTATCATCAACACCATCATTATAACCATCACCATCAACATCATCCACTATCTTTTATCATCATCAACATCATCATCATTCACAATCATCATTCACAATCATCATCACCACCATCATCACCACCATTATCGCCAACATCAACCCCTCCATCATCATCATCATCATGATCATCAACAGAATCACTCATGAACATCACCACTCCTCCTCCCTTTCTCACTGTTTATTTAGGTCTTGAGGAGCCTGACTATCCGAGGCACGAAGCTGGATGATGTATTCTGAGCCGATGACTAAAGACCCTTCCGAGATGAGACGGATAATGACATCGCTATTCTGCTGCACCACGGAGAACAATGCAATTGCTGGCAAGGAGACGAATGTATGATCGATGATTGGCGGTAAGGATGTTGCGTCGGCATCAGTAACAGGAATCTATGGTTTCAAAAATAATAATAATAGTAATAATTCAATGAAATCTACAATCATCCAAATATGTCTTCATAATGTGTATCTTCCTACCTATCAATGTTATAAATCTACCAATGTTACAAACAATGATTTGCTTCCTCTAAAAGAGTCAATTTATCTCAAACTCAATTTTCCAATACCTAATTTATGTTTTTTAAATTTTTTATTTAGAAATCACTTACTGAAATGACTTCAGTATTGAACGCAGCATTGTCCTTCAGGTTGACTGTATATTGATTTGTTACGGGATCAAAGTACTGGTTTTGTTGAAATTCTGGCGAGTTATCGTTCAGGTCACGGATTAAGATGGTAACTTGGAGGGTCGGGAGCTGTTGAGAAGCTGATGAACAAATAGAAAAAGATAAGAATTAAAAAATATTGTACTATTATAAAAATATAAAGCTTAAAGATAACTAGAGCTCCTGTCAAGTGCCAGAGCACCTTATTTAATAAGGTATTAACGGTACAGTGCTCAAAACATTAGTATTAATTAAGAGCTATATAAATGTAACTATTATTATTATTATTATGATTATCAAGTGATTGCAAAGTGAAAGAAAGTGGATGCAAATAAGAAATAGGAACACCAGGGTAAATAAAAAAAAAGTTACATAAATATTTATGTAAAAAATTATTTATTCCAGGAATGAAGCAATCCCTTTTTTGTCCCGATAAATACAAAAAGAGTCATAATTTTCCCAGAAACAAAACTATTGACAAAGAACACTATATGCCTGCGGTAACCATGCTTTAATTTTTTACCTAGGCATTATTGATTCTTGTGACATAACAAGGGAACTATTTGAAAGGAATGAACTTACCGTCAAACTGTCCTGATGTATTGGTCGGCCTTGCTATTATCTGTACAAGAAAAACACAGAAACACATTAAATAAACATTTGAAATATTATGAAATGATAAAAGCCAACCATTCAGTAAATGTGCCATTTTGAACACAAGACAAAATATGAGAGAATAACTACTCCTTTTTGAGGGCCAGTGAAATTCCCTGATTTTTGCCTGACTTGGGTAAATTTTCTCAAATTCCCTGGATTTTTATTCCTGACTGAAAGAAGGGGGAAACTCATTTGGTGTTTTTTTTTCCTCGATTTCCAGGATTACCAAGAACCTTACAGCCTTATTCAGATATGATGCGGCAAAACCAGAGAGTTAAAAAAAAATGATGACACAGTGGTGGATCCAAGGGGGAGCACAGGGGGCACGTGCCCCCCCCCCCCCCGGCCAAAAAAAATATGTTAAAATCAGCCCTAAATTCGCCCAAAACATACTGAAAACCAGGGGCGTGCCCCCCCCCCCCCCCCCCCCCCCCCCGGCCAAAACAAATTTTATAATTGTTTTTATTTTATTTTATTTAACTTTTTTTTTTTAAATGCCAATGGCTGACCTAAAAAGGTAACCCTCCCCCCCCCCCCCCAACGCAGCAAAATGTCAAATTTAAAAATTTTGTGACCAAAATTTTTTTTTTTAAATGTCCTCTTACCCCCCCCCCCCCCCCCCCCCCCCCCCCCCTGCTTATTCAGCGGCTGGCTGAGTCGTTGCGATTCTTTTTGGGACTAAATATATATATATATATGTTCTCTTTCCCACACGGTGCCCCCCCCCCCCCCCCCCCGCAAGAAATTCCTGGATCTGCGTGTGACATAAAGCGTAAAACACTTCCCGTTTCTGTTACTTATAATACAGAGCTAAGTTAATAAGCGAAGGACCCTTGATGTGCACAGTTGCCGTTCGTTCACTTGTTCACCGCGTCATACCTGAACTAGCCCTGATTTTTCTACCATAAGGTTACTTCATTTGCTTACAGAAACATTGTAGCTAGCTTGAGTTTCAGCATCCAGTGGGGTGTTAGAGAGGCCGCTGTACGAGAGATAGACTCCGTTGGTTCCCACGAGGTCTAGGGTGAAAACAGAGTTGTCATCCAACAGATAGCTCAAGCCGGGATCTTCATCCTATGAAGAAAAAAAATGAGAAAAAGAGACATTTACATAATATTGGATCGATGGCCTGAGTGTAATGCTGGCTCCCACAAACTTTTTTTGCCTCTCTGACTGCGTGCTATTTTGCACAACACAATAGGCACTGATTGATCTAAGGATTTCTTTGTGCATTCATTACATTGGATTTGCAAAATTAGCCATTTCCAGTCTTGATTAGCTCCATGACAGCCCTATATTTACACGGGTACAGACTAATCTTGATCTGGAGACAGTTATATGAGCTGGAAGCTTTTAGTATATATATCTGGCACATGCAGGGAGATTATTTGTGTAATTTAAAAAGAGATAAAGGGAAAACTACACTCTGATATTAGTTTGGTTTAAATAAAAGCAGACAAATTAAAACAAAAATAAGTGAAAGGTTGAGCAATATGTGATTAAAATCAGGACAGTTATGAACTTTTAAAGTTGTCATCAGTGAAACGCACACAATTGGCAACACTGTGATGTATCTTGCAAGGTCCTCTCCAATTTGCTGGGTATTAAAAATTTCATAAACTTTCATATTCTGTGTTATTGATGACAGAATAGATATGTTTTCTACAGGGCCTGTATTTGCAATAATTATAATTGAAAATCTTATTAAGGGAAAAAGTACATTTTACTTTTTTTGGTTAATGTACCAGGCTAATGGGAGGGGACCTCGTATAATACGCCACAGATTTGCCAATTTTGTATGATTGAATACACCTTCAAAAATTCCTTACTTTCTTATTTTTCATCGGTTTTTCGCTCAACTTCCACTAACCTAGTTGTTTAATTCTCTACTTTTTTCTGCTTCTATTAAAAACAACTTGCTATCAGGGTGGACTTCCCCTTTAATATTCAGTATTAATAATTACCTGATCCAGATCCGGGTCTGTTGCTTGGATAAGCAGCGGAACGATACCGTTCGAGTCAGCCGTTACCCGAGTTCCCGCAATAACATTCTCGGAGATGTAACCAGTCATTGTTGTCGTGGAGAAGGTTGGCTGGAAATTATTGATGGGCGTTACCTCGATAATCACTGTCGCTGTGCTGCTGCTTGTACCTTTAGTGGCCTGCAAAGGGAGTATAATCAAAGATTTATAATCCCATAGATAGCAGTTTAGAGTTTGCTTAGATCTCAATAAACTAGCTTTTCCTTCTACTCAAATTGACACTATATATTTTAATTTTCCACCTGTATACATGTAGTTAAAAAATTTAATTAACCAATGTGTACACACATACACAAAAAAATCTTTATGAGTTTCAAATAGCATTGCCAATACAGAGACTTCAAAGCGGGACTGCACTACATGTAGCTACGTGCACCCTCTATATAGCAAACAATGCCTAAGCGGTACCGATTGGTCCCCCATGATCCCCTTTTTCTTATGTTAATTGAAAGCTGATTTGATGAGATAACCACCTAGTTGTCAGTGACCACGCTGAGTTCTAATCCCTCCTGGCCAAACTAGTGCAGACAGGCTTTAATGGTGACTTACAGTATAAGTATTCTTAAATGTGTGATTATGTTATTATAAATGTTTACTTACTGCGACAGATATACTAAAGACGTCATACTCAGATCGGCGGACTTGTTGAAGAAGGTTCACCTGCCCCGTAGTAGGGTTGATAGAGAAGAAAGAAGAATACTGCGGAGGTTGCCCTGATATAGACATAGACAAAGAGCAATGTAAACAAGACATATTATTATCATCATCATTATCATTATTATTATTATTATTATTATTATTATATATGTCATTTGTTGCAAATCCTTAGCCTAAAAATATATGTCTATTTCCATTCTTCCATAATATAACTGAAGAAAAATTGTGTAGTTTCTAGGAAATAATATAAAAAATAGAGAAAATGGGATTGGTTGACGTGGCCAATATCCCAGTATGTTGCCAATTTGATTCCAATTAATTCATTCCAAATAATTCCAAATAATTAGATGCTTACCTCCAGTGAAGGAGAACGTTACAGACTGCGGATCCACGGTCCCTCCAGAACTATTGACAACCCTGATCTGGTTTGGGGAGAACTGCAATGGACTTAATATCGGCTGCAGGAAAATAAATTAAAAAAAAAAAAATTGTACATGAATATGAAAGATGGCCTAATGTGTTAATATGTTTTATTATTATTATAAGGTTTATTGGTAATGTATTTTATGAGAAAAGAATACTCTGTAAACAAAAATTATGCTAGATTTTTACACAGAAGAATAAAATCAGATAATAAATTTTTCAAAGATTTGATCCATGTCTAGAAAAAAAATCTCTGTATGACTACATTCAGTATAAAATTTTATTATATTGGTCCTAATGGAACGACGGACCAATAGTTTAAACAATAAAATGGTCCTACGTTACGTCCTGCTGGTCTATCCAAATGAAAACTTTAAAGAGCACCAGTGGAACTGAAACAGATAATGTCTAGTGATATTAATTATTTATGTTTGTGATGGCCTTCGCCATCCCTCACAGTTGCCATTATTTGGGGAGATTTAATTGTTTTCATTTTCATGACTTTTCAGTTTTTGACCGTGGGATCCCTGTCAATAGGTTGTCTGTAAACTTGTACTTTCCTGGAATGCTGCTTTATAGAGAGGTGATTCGACTTCTGGGCCCCATTTTCACAAAACTTGACATCAGTGACAAATACTAGTTTTTGTTATAAGCTAGTGAAATCCTTACTTCTAATTGATTATTAGCAGATTTGTCACTGATTTTTGTCACTTGTCATTAAAATAAGGCTTTGTGAAACGGGTCCCAGGTCACGACAAGAAAATGTCTAAAAGATATTTGGAAATGTTCAGAGGATTAATGAGATGAAAGACTACATGTGTAGACGTCCAAGGAAAAAGATATCTCACCGTTTTCTCCTGTACAGAGGCCCTGTATTCCACGTTTGTACAAATTGTTGTGTTGCATCCGACAAACATTGGAGCTTGGTCGTCTGCATTCAGTACGGTCACGGTCAGCGTTGCCATTGACGACCGCGGAACAACACCTCTATCCTGTAGAGATTAACAGTCATTTGTTCAAACTCATATTTACTAAAACGGTTATCTATCATTGTTAAACCTTATCTGTACTAGTTTATAGGAAGGATTAGAGCACCCTGCAAGGTCACTACACAGGTGGTTTTCTCATCAACTCAGCTCTCAAATAACATAAGAAAGAGAGGATCATGGGGGACCAATGGTTACCGATTAGGAATTGTTTTCTATATAGAGGGCGCAAGTAGCTACAAGTAGGACAGGCTTAAAGCATCTCAATCAGACCCTGAATATATTCAGAGGGACAAACTTTTTCTTCTCTAACACTTGATGAAATAGCAACCCAACATAATAGATTAAATTGAAAAGGAAACCATTTTATTGAATTTTATCAACTTGAGCTTTCCTTTTCACCTGTGACATCAATCCACTTCCCCATCCCCATCCCCCTCCTGGACATTGCTTTCTTTCATGCTCACCTTTGCTACAATTGAGACTATCCACTGTTGTCTTGACTCAAAGTCAATACTCTGTTACAGTGTCACCTTGTAAGTGACATCACCCCTCTCTCTCCCCCTCCAGGAACTCCTCTCCTAGACCCAACCCCCTCCCCCTCCTGGACAGTAATTACTTTTATTCTCACCTTTGCTAAAATTAAGACTATACTCACTGCTGTCTTGACATGTGGATGGTTTGCAACATCGTCACCTATGACATCAACATTCCCCCACCCTCCAAACCCCCTCCTAGGCATTTTATTTTATTCTCACCTTTGCTACAATTGAGACAGTCCACTGTTGTCTTGTCTCAAAGTCCAGGCTCTGTAACAGGGTCACCTCTCCTTTACCAGTGTTTGGCATGTCAAAATAGGAGTTTGACATCTGCATGAAAAGATGAAAAAAATGACTAATAAAGAGGAAGAATACCCTGCTTTTTTAGACACATGTAGGATGTAAAATTGGATGCCCCAACAACCGTTGAATTAGAGAACAATTCTAGACAGATCAAACCCCTAACTGTCAGTAAGGGGGTCGAATTTACATGTATATAGAACAGAAAACTTATACATTCAGGTACATGACATGATTGGCCATTTAAACACAATAACAAAAACAAAGTCCTCAGCCATTTGTTCAACAATATTCTGGATAAAATATTCAAAAGAATTACATTTTTAGATGTTTTACTTAGATGTATTGCAGAAAGTCCATAGCATATTTTTCTCTAAGTTTCCCAAACAGAAGGAAACAGACACCAAGAGAAGAAATAATCCTGCTATACTATTAATGAAAATCACTTTGATTATTCCATTTAAATTTTTTAGAGTTGACTTAAAAATCATTAACCTAACAAAAATTAGCAAATGTAACAAATACCTTTTAGAATTGAAAAGTTTTATAAGCAAACATTTTCACAGACCTGTACAGATAGATTGCAGATGACAGGGAAAGACACTTTTGCAAGGCGTTGTTATTGCGATAATTAAAACAGGCTGCAATACAAAACATTATTCATGTTCATTCATATATCCACGAACGATAAGCAAATTTCGCAAAAGTAACAGCTTATACAGTAAATAAATACAACATAGTCAAAATGCACATGTGAATTACCGGATCATTTTGATTTGGTACAATTTCAAAGCTTATCTGGCCGTTGCGGTTGTCACCATCGTTATCATCGGCTTCTATCCCAGCAAAAATAACTTCATTGATTGCTGTAGCCTGGAAAAAAGAAATATTAAGAAGGGTGCATTTTATAAAGGAAACGATTTAATCACCAAAATTTGCCATAAATATAGGTTTGGGTTTTAATTTAGTTATCCTATATCTAAATATCAGCTTCATATATTATTTCTATATAGGAGTGGGGTGATGAACAGTTCCCCCTCCCTCGACCACCCCCATTGGCAAATACATCTAACCACGAATGTAAAAAACATAATCCATGTTGATAAAAAAAAAAAATATATATATATATATATATCAACACTTTTAGAGTAAACAGAGAAAGAAAGTTGAAGGATGAGAACAGACAGAAAACAAGGCAGAGCCAGGGGACAGGGAAAAGAAGGAAGAAAGCCAGATAAAGGTAGAAAGATAGAGGCAGAAGAAGAAGAAGAAGAAGAAGAAGAAGAAGAAGGAGGAGAAAAAGAAAACTAACAAGAAAAGAAAAAGAAAGAAGAAGAAGAGGGACAAGGAAAAGAAGGAAGAAAGCCAGATAAAGGTAGAAAGATAGAGGCAGAAGAAGAAGAAGAAGAAGAAGAAGAAGAAGAAGGAGGAGAAAACAAGAAAACAAGAAAAGAAAAAGAAAGAAAAAGAAGAGGGAGGGAAACGGAGGAGAGCCAGAGAAAGGTAGAAAGATATAGGAAAAAAAAGAAGTAGAAGAAGAAGAAAAAGTGAGAGATAGAGAGAATTAAACATACCTCTGATACAGACACTGTATATGGCGCTCCAATGAAGAATGGTGTGTTGTCGTTAGCATCATTCACTTTAATAAGTATGTCATAATTAAAGTTGATCTAGAGGATTGCGAGAGGAGGGAGAGAAAAAAAAGAACTTTTGATTCCTATATTAAGGATTTAAGAGCATCCATCCCATGAATTAACTTGTCTGAAAATGAAAAACTTTTACAATATCATCATTTTATATGTGGAATTTCATTTCATTTTGATATATTTACATTTAACATCCAACACTATGCTTAGTCAATAGCATTCTCATATATTTTGTCTTTTTCAAAATTGATGTGCCTCCAATCGAATGGCATTCTTTTATTTCAGTTGTAATAATTAATAATAATGTAATAACTAAATGTTCATATTACTATCAAAATAAAGTTACATTTCCACAGAAATTATAATCATACTCATCAATATCATGATAAGTGTATATCTGAGTTGTAATTCTCATCACTGAATATGATTTTCATTTTTTTTAATTATTCTTTCATCACAATATCAGAACCCAAAATGAGGTTAAAGGAGAGAAAAATACTGTACTAACATAAATAACTTACCAGTGTTTGACATTGTACTGTCAAGGAAATGGATTTCACTGCATTTGGGGGCTGCAAGAAAGGAAGAAAAAAAAGGGTGATGTTTGACCCCTTTCATCGATTGTTTTCACCACCACTACGTACCATCACCATCGTAGTTCAGTACCATCACCACCATCAGCACCATCATCAGCATCAACACTATTACATAGCACCTAATAATCATTATATACCTCATACATAGATTTTCATCGGTCAAAACTATATCACATGAAAAGGAGCATCTCGATCTATCATTGCATCAGAGGGTTTTGGAGTACTATCACAGGGTGATGATAGTTTGTACAATTACCCCCGTAGTCGGTTAATAAATGCTTACTATATCACCATAATCATCACCATCACCACAACTATCACCACTACCATCATTATCAACATTACGACCGACACCATCATCCTGATCACCACTATCATAATCATCATAATCCTCATCATCATCATTATCATAATCCTCATCATCATCATCATTATGTCCACCATCAGCATCACTACCACAATACCACCATCAGCATTAATACCAACACTATCCCCACCATGATCGTCATGATCATCATCATCATCATCATCATCATCATCATCACCATCATCACCACCACAATTATCATCATCACCACTACCAACAACATCAGCAATAATATCAACACTATCATCACCACAATCATCCCCATCATCATCACTTTCATCCCCATCATCATAATTTAAAAGTTGAGATGTCGACATACATCTGCATCCACTGTTTGGACGAGCATCAGCTGCTTGGTAAGGACATTGATAAAAATGCTTGGGTGATCCTCAGTGACCACTAGAGTTATGGAGCCGGAACTCCCGGTGATGCCAGTGATTGGCAGGAACCCAATTGATGTCCCTGCAGAAAAGAAAACAAACAAACAACTTGAATATTCAAAATATTTGCACAACAACAACAAATGAAATTTAATTCACTTTCAATTACAGTTTTGTAAGTTGAATGATGTCATTTTTTTGTCATGATATATACCAGTATTTTAAAAAACTTGTCTCTCAGTGGCTATGATAACAACAAAACTTTCCCTATGATTGCAAATGCAATTGAAACTCTCTTAGTTATGATGTTAATGATTTACGTATCTATTTGAGATTCACTGTCAACTCCTATCAAATGTTGTGCATTCCGTTTTATTTGATGTTCATTTGAGAGATTAAATCATTTATTTCAAAGATCAATTTCCTTGTTAACTTGTTAATATTCTACAATGTGATTTGCAAATACGTGTATGGACTGTAATAAACTTGATTATATGTTTTGCATTTTTTAAACTTTTACAAGGCCCTTTCATTATCATGAAAACAATAATTCAATTCATTTTTTAAAAAATGGGATATTTGTCTAACATACAATTACTTTTGAGAACAAAAATGCACATTATCACCATCATCACCGTCATTATCATTATCATCACATCATCATAATCACTACATCAACATCATCACTACAATCATAATCATCATCATAATCTCTTCATCTTCATCATCACTACAATCATTACCACCATCAATACAATCATTATCATCACCATCATCGCTAAAATAACCATCGCCACCATCAAAACAGTTATCACCATCATCATCATCATCATCATCATCATCATCATCATCATCATCATCATCATCTCTTACCAGCAGGATTTGATTCACTTATTTCAAACTCAATTACTGGATCAGTATTAAGCCCATCTGACCTCTGGCATTCTAGAATGCAAAGAAAACAAAATAACCAACTGTAAAAACAATAACATTCCTGCATTATAGAATCACTTTTTTGGCAAAAAAAATGCTATTAATGAATGAAGGGAGATATAATTTGCAAATGAAGTGTAACAACATGAGATGACAGATACACTGAAAAAAATCCCAGTGTTATGACTATGGTTTCTTCCACAATTTTACTTCATCATGTTAATTCATACAAGTAATTTACAAGGTAACATGAAGCAGTAAAGTAACAAATGCTAAATGACTAAAAATAAAATTCCTTTTTTAATAATTATTAACAATCCCACTATCTTCTAAGATGTGCATTCAAATCAAAATGAGTTTGAACGAGACATCGGTCAACTTCTATATATTATGGTTTTGTGAAATGATTCCCAGATCTACAGATCAAGAATAGCAGCCAGGAACATTATTAATATAAACATAGAAAATATCAACATTTTGATAATGCACAATCACAATGTAGAACTAGTTCTGGGTGCAGAAGGATACAAAATACTATTCTTGTGTTTTTTCGTCTTTAATTCTATGCACACATGAAGAAAAGAAGAAGTAGTGCCTGCAAATACAGTGATTTCAGTAAAAGATGCACAAACAAATGAAAAGCACAGCCACAGGAATTTAATGGATCATAAATAATTCAAGTATCGAAATAGCACAGATAAAAGAATTACAGAATACTTCATCCCAGTTTTAGTAACATACTGGTTGTTAAAGTAGTAGTCTACCATGATATTAGTTTGATTTGAATGAAAGCAGGGTTATCTCAGAAACAGGAGGGAATTGTTGAGATGGTAGAGGGGCAGAAAGGAAAAGTATGAATTAATTTCATTAGGCCATAAAACAGCCATTCAAACTTACCTTGGCCTGATCAATCGATGAACAGGAGGGAAAACAAAGGGATGCAAACACAGATATAAACAACCACATTAAACACATATTTACAACAAAAATATATTAGTGCATTAATTATCACATATCCCTGTAAAACCAGAACATTTCACAAATTTTACCGATTGGTTCACATTATGAAAATTTCAGGCCACAGGAATGATTAATTTACCTGTTTGGAGCCAGAAGGATATTAACTCAGGCTTTGACACAGGGTTAATGCCCTTCTGGCTCTGAACAAAGGAAATCATATTAATAAAAACACAATTTTTTTTAAAATTGTGACAATTTCTTGCTACCAAAGCAGGGCCATCATTGATGATTTTGTTTTCCATATGTGAACATTTCCATGGACAATGATTTTGTTGCAGTGTAAAGTGCACACATATTTGCTTCCTGTGCGTAAACATATTTCTTATGTATACCTACTTCAATCGCATATTTTGAGTTGTTTCAAAATTGCTAAATAATGTGCAGAGTTTTAAACATTCTTTGATTACCTAAGACTCTTCTTTTAAAGAAAAATTGTCTACTAAATAAAACTGAACTTTCCAGATAATCGACCTGTCCTAAAAAAAATTGTAACAATATAAGAATGTATGTAAAAATTAAATGTGCTGTAACCACATTTAGTTTTCAATGATTATTTCATATAAGGGTTATGGAATACTAGCATTGGTCTTTAAAGCTATATGAAATTAACTATCAGTTAAGGTATTATAGCAAAAACAGACTTTATATATATATATATATATATTATGACAACACCAAAACATGTATGCACATTTTGTTAAAATGTTTAGACAACTGACAAAATCAAAGTTTATAATGATAACAACTTTAACAAATCATATATTCTGGACTCTATATATTCCTTTTGCAATACAGGTAATTTCAATGATCTTAACTTTTTTTAAATGTAGTATCATGGTTTGTTTTTTTTTTACTCGGGGACATGATTTGTTTTCAGCAAAATGCACTATTGGTATTTTCTACAAAACAAAAGTGTTTTACAAAGGTGCACTTAATATTCATTTCTAAATTTTTGCAGTCCTTTTCCAAGATGCATTTGCTACAAGTACATCTGTGCTATTTTTCTAGAGTGTTAATCACGCACAGACAACCATGCAAACCAAGTGTAAAATCTTTAATGAAAAACAATGATGCTTCTTATGTGAATGCAAGACTGTCATTTCTCCTTTTTTCTATTTTCTTTCTATGCATACATCTTATTTCCTACAAATCATAAAAATCAATAAAAGATATCATGAAAATGGCAAGAACTGCCTTCTAAACTTGAACAAATATTGCATCATCTGTTCAAAACCACTTTATGTTAAATTATAAGAAAAACCTATAAAAATACCTCTTCATAAGATGAGTGTTTTTATTTCTTTTTCTTTCTTTGTTGGATTTCTCAAGTTAAGCAAACTGAGCAATATCTTAATGGATTTTGCGCCATATAAGAAACAAGCATATGTATGCACCATTGTGTATGTTAGGGCATTGACTCCATTTTAAAGTATATAAGTTCAACGCCCTTGTGGCTCCAAAAAGATGATACAATATCTGTTACTCACGATCCTAAACTTGAGTTTCAAAATGCAAGTTCTGATTTTTTTTCTTCAATGTTCATTATTTTTTATCATAACTCTTCACAATCACTAATATTTTTAGCAATGTGCTTGTGAAAATGCTTACCTATTCCTGGTATCTGCCTCTTTTGACGATCTGTTAGAGCACAACATCAACAATTTGGTTACGTACAATAATATTAGTAAATAACATCCATAAAAATCTTGCACTATCAAACATAATCATTAATACTAGAACATTCCACAGCTATATCAATTTGTAGAACACAATTGTCACAAAATTATGTGTTCCATTCATCAGAAGAATACGAGATTATATCAAGATACGTATTGCAGCTAAAAGTGTAGTTTTTTGTTCTTCATCAATTGTGTAAAAGTTAAACAAGATTCTTAATCTTTGTAAGGACAACATTTGTTAGTTTAAATGACCAAAACACAAGTACAATGTAAAACAGAACCAATTGATTACTGGCATGCATTTAATCTCTCAATAAAACAAAACAAATATTTTTGGAAATTTCAAGGCTTCTATTTAAATAGTTAGTTGACACATCTTTCAGAACATGTAACATGATCATTGATTCAGATGATGCAAATTTCAGAAGTCCCCCAATAATTAAACAAATGAGAAGTTACATATTAAAGGTATATTTCATTTTGCCAGCAAGGACATTTCACTTTAGTACGCAAAGATGGACACATTGGCCCAAATTCACAAAAGAGGTTTGTCGACAAACCTCCTTTGTTTTGCCAAACCTCCTTTTGTTTTTTACAAACCAGGTTTGTAAAAAACGCGTAAAAATGCGTCATATGACGTACGGAAACCAAGGTTTGTCGACAAACCTCCTTTGTGAATTCGGGCCTATATCCACACATTATGTTATTCTAAATAAACTGATAACTATGTTAAAACATGAATTAAACATGCTAAGTTACATCCACATAGTCTGAACAAAATATGAATATATTTGATTATTTTGTATGTGTTAATTCCATGAAATATTTTAGAATATCAAATTAGGAATAGATGAAGATTTACACCATTAAGTGGAAATAAAAATAATATACTCACCAAAGGCTGTTGAAGTGAAAAGAAAAATAAAAGAAAGAGAGGAAAAGAGAATAAAACAGAATTAGACTACTTTTTCTTGATCAATGCTTTCATTGTTATCATAAGAAAGCAATACTGACACACGTATACATATGATGACAGGAGCTGACTGGGCAATGGACATGCTCAACATGCTCAACATACAATTACTACTGGTATTTTTATGTATTTTTTACAGCCATCCGGCATAGCGTAATGCTCACAACAAAAGTATGATTTTTTTGTTGTTGATTTTTTTAATTATCCTTCCTGGTTCCTGAATTAAAGAAGATTAAATCACTGTTCATGTCCCCCATTAAGACCTGTTACTGTAATGACCCACTTTAATAATCAGCTTACAAAAAAGAATGCCACAGCTACATAAAAAAAAACATTTTTATATGCAAATAAATGGCGATTTTGAGGTGGAAAAAAATAGCTGTGTGCAAGAATTAATGGCCCATAAAATCATGTCTAATATTTGTGTGTTATGCAGGGCTCACCACTGACACGCATCCCAAAATTACGTCCATCCCCCCCCCCCCTCCACCCAATTTTAAATTGTTCACATAAGGCTCATGCATGCAGACTTTAAAGCCCCACTGCACTACTTATAGCTACTTGCGCCCTCTATATAGCAAACAGTGCCTAATCGGTGACCATTGGTCCACCATGGTCCAATTTTTCTTATGTTAATTGAGAGCTAATTTGATGAGATAACCACCTGCCAATTATGGCCATGCAGGGAGGTCTATTCCTTCCTGGCCAAACCAGTGCAGAGGGGCTTTAAAAGCTTGATTCGAACCCCTTCATATTAAAAAAGTTAATGTGGAGCCCTGGTACATGTTTTGTATTGATCAGGACCCATCACTTCCAATATACATGATGTAATACACACTGCTAATGGCCTATATTATTAACAACAACCTGGGCTCAGCGAGGCAGCTGTGATTGGACAATATTGATCCACCCATCATGTGATACGGGATCAATATTCAAATGAGCCGTTAACAAAATATGGTGGGTAAATATTATGTGGATGTACGAATTAGCATTTCATTAGCATGAAACCAATAGGCATGTGTAGTAAAACAATAAGTATAGCACATTGGTAGATACTTAATATGTCATGTGGGGTGTTGGCACAGAATATAGAAAAAATTATATCATCACAGCTCTATCTATCTGAATCAAGTAATGAAATGACAAAGTTGATATAAGCCAGTACAACTCTAACAAATGGGCATAGTAATGGTCCAATTTTGTGAACATGCAGTGTAGGAGAATTTAACTACTGGTATGCATTATTGTTTGAGGGCCTCTTCATAGCACTTTTGTAAAATTATGTAATTTCATTATAATAATTGCTTTGACAAATTGTAGTATTATGTCAGGTATGGATTTAAAGTAATCTATTCAATAATACATGCTCTAAACATAATTTTTCCTTTCCAGACTTCCTCCTCTCTGTAATTCTTCCCTTCTCCCCTCTCTCTCTCTCTCTCTCTCTCTCTCTCTCTCTCTTCTCTTCCATTTCTCTATTCTTCACCTCCCCTCTCTTTTCTACCTCCTTTCTCTCTCCATTGTTTTCGCTTCTACCCCTCCCTCCCTTCTTTCCACTCTCCCTTCTCCCTGCTTCCCCTTCTCTCTTATCCACCCATCTCTCTCCCCCTCCTCCTCTGCCTTCATGTACTCAATTTTTCCACAATCAATCTGTTCCTGACATGTCACCCAGCACTACTTTGAAGACAGATGATGAATCATCATAGTACTTCACTCTTAAAGCTGATACTCTAAGACAATCCCAAATACTGAGATAATTACATAAATAGAAAGCTTTTAACCCCCATAATAACACCAAATGGTGTCCACCCGACAAAACAAGTTTAGAATAATGAATTTATTCGAGTAAACTCTACCAAAATATCTAAGTCTGAAACCCGGAAGTGCACGTAGAGTCGGGCCTCTATCCGTGACGTCACGAACGGGAGTCATGGGCTCAGTGAGAGTGAATGGCAGTGATATCCCTACGTAAATGCTATCCTGTCAGAGCTTAGATTTGTTGTTGTTAAGGAGTATATTTGATGGATTTTCTGTTTTCATTTGAATGAAGAATAACGAAGCAACATTTTCCAGTCGCTGATTTCTTTTTATATCCTCATATTCACCTATTTGGTAGAGATTTAAGACTAGTTTACTGCTTAGGAATTAAAGTTAAATCGTGCACTTATGAATAGGCGGATGCATTATAAATTATTGTCATCAGATGTACATTAGCAGTTTTGTAAAAACGAATAGGTCTAGAACTATGATAGTACTTATCATAGATGTGTGTGACTGCCTCAAAAAAGGATACAGTAGTCAGTACCAGTTAAACATTTTATGTTGTAAAATATCAAACTTGAACGAGATCATGCAAGCGCGCTTCCTCTATAATATTTTGGCGAGTGATGCGGCTCTTGCATAAACGTTCGTGGAGCGAGCAGAATCGGGAGGTAAGACCAAGCCGCTGCTCTAGGCGCTGCTTGCTTGTGATGGAACGTACGTGCGCTAGTTATATGTTTATCGGCAATTGCAAGAGAATGAAAGTGACGTTGCCAGCTAAGAAAAACAACTAACAAAGACTTGCTCCTGACTACCGGTGTCAGAATTGGTAGATGAAGGATGTTCAGGGCCAAGGAAGGCGAAAGACATGGGAAAAGGGAAGAAGAAACCATCGGGAGATCGCTGCAGTGTATGGTAATGAACTGTGCATGGGTAGACAGCTACTGTTCACTCCGTGCCTGGGCCGATTTCAACACCAAAACAAAAATTACATGGTGAAAATATCGACTAATAGCACATCGTTGGCATGTATATGTCATAATTTTTAAAAGGGGAATTGATATTAATACTATGAAGTACTAGGGGAAGGTAAAGAATTGTACATAGAATTATGATTTATTAGACTTTTCAGCCTTTGAAACAAAAATATGCAGAAAATCGTATCACTCTGCACATGTTTGCTATGGAACATCCGGGTACGTGAATATACTCTCTCCCGGACGTGAGGTCATAAATAGTAGACCAGCGTCGTGACTGATTTTCTATGCAAAGAGAGGCGGATATTTTAGACATTTCAATGGAGGATTTCGAGTAGACAGAATTTTTTTGTGATATACTAAGTAATTGAAAAACTTAAAAATAACATATACTTGCCGTAGGTAACAAATTAAGGGACATTTATTTGCTTAGAGTATCAACTTTAAGTGGCACTTCAGTCATCCTCCCCTGGGTCATGATCAACTCCATAGTCATTAGTTCAGAGCCAAAAGGGCATTATATCTGTGCTAAAGTATATAAGTTATTGCCTATCTGGCATCAAACACATGGAGTATGTTTGTTGACATTTGAAGGACAGATAAACACAGGCTTTGACAATACCTAAAGTTGAAATGTACTGTTTTAAAATATTAGCGAAAAAATAACAGGCAAATATGAATTAACAGTCTGTCCCATTTGTCTGTTTGTAAGATCACTATTCAAGAAATATAAAATGTGTTATAAGTGGAAAACATACATGTATAGTTTAGTGTTTTTGTTTAGCTAGCCTGTTTCTTTGATTATTTTTGGAGGGGGAAAACATGTAGATACAAAGATGTAGGAACTATATATCCTTTAAATAAACTTAAAATAGAATAAATACCTGCTAATTGTAATGTCTTTTAAGATATTTCATTATTTCACAGTTCCAGCAGCATAAATTTGATTATTAGGAGGAAAATCCTAGCCATTAATTAACTCAAATATACAAACCATTATCAAACTGAAAATACGCAAATATTCTTTTACTCATTTTTGTGATTGCAAATTTGAAAGCAGCAAACAATGAATGCTTATAATGTATATATATATATATATCAATATGGATTTTTTTTTCTCTCTCTCTCTCTCTCTCTCTCTCTCTCTCTATCTATCTCTCTCTTTCTCACCCAGCACTTTTGCTTTAAAACTCCCATACTTTTCCTCAATCCTAAACATCAGAAACATACAATTCATGAATTCTGCAACAGCACTTTCTCAAAATCCCTTCACGCTTCTCCATGCAGTCCAACAGCCATAGATTAATGTATTCGTATTTTCTCTATCACAAATGTCTCTCCTTTCTTTCTGACTGTCTGTATATCTGTCTGTCTATCTGTTTATCTCTCTCTCTCTCTATCTCTCTCTGTCTCTCTGTCTCTTTCGCTCTCCCTCTGTCTGTCTGTCTTTCTCTCTGTCTCTCTCTCTCTCTCTCTCTCTCCATCCATCCTACCTACTTCATGCAGTCCCACAGATATATTAATGTACAGTATTTATATCTTCAAGTCATGTTCTATTGCAAAGCTGGGATCAATATTTTATCCAGGATGCCGGGACTGGCTCCGACAATGGGCCCTGATCAATAAATTAAAGATTGGTATGCTGCATGCATTGATGAATACCACCTGATCGCTATAAAAGTAAGAGGATAAATCAATACTTAATGAGAGGATGAGAGGCCACTTTGGGTAGTGTAGAAGAGAGTAGAGACTGTATGTCATTTTGCATCACCAGGCCATGAGCATTATCAGTCAAACTGTGATAGAAACCAGTTACGGTATGTGTAAAACCCTGTATCTTGAGCAGAGATAGATAAATATATATATATATTAGGAGCGCATCTATTGTTAATATGTGATATGTGCTATACCAAAAAACTACTCAGAATATCATCCTCATTATCATCATCTTCTTAATATTATTACTACTATCTCACATGTTCAGTTAATCTACTATATGACAAAATGAAATATTTAGAAATTGGTTTGTGACTAATTCCAGTTGAAAGATAATTAGCTACAGTTACATTGCAGTTCTAACCTGAACTTTTATAGAAATCCCACCATGCATATCATTTCTAATCCAGCAATATAGAGTCTTACAGGGTAAAAATTTTCTAAATGGTCATTAAACATGAATTGTAAATT